ATTCTCTTGCCTTCTAGCTTCTGTGGAGGAGTGTCTTCTGGCTCTTTATGTTCCAAATCTTTGACTTGATTCTTGCGATCTTCCCTTCTGGTTTTAGGACTCTGTAAAATATTTTTTATTTCAGACAATGTATTCTTTATTTCTTGTTGATCTCATCATTTCTTGATGACTCCTTATTCATTCTAGTTGATCTCTTCATATCCTCATAGGTCTTATCCATCTTTTCTAGGAAATTCTTGAAAAACCTTATAAGCGTAGATTTGAACTCTATACCCAGACGCTTTTTGTCCTCCATTTCTTTCGTTTGTGATCTATTTTGTTGTCGCATTTCGCAGTTACAGATGGGACGGGGATTCAGGGTGGAGCCTGCAGCTTTGGCTTCCGTCAGCCCCGCCCTATGCGGGTCCTTCAGTGCTCGCTGCCGGCGCCTCTGAGAGAAAGGTGCCTTCGATTTTCGCCTGCTGCCAAACAGTCTATGCTCTCCCACAATGAGTCCGGTATTGGGGTTCAGTTCAATTGGAAGTGGAGTTGGAGGTGGTGTTCAGAGCAGTCTGGAGCCCCAGTCTCCTTCCAGTCAGGGCAATCCCACGGCACAGCCGACTGTCCCTTCTCTGCGTGCAATGTGTGCGCGCCTCCGGGACCTCCTTTCGCCACTTCCCCGGAATTTCGCCTTACAGCCCGGCTCCCTATGGCTGAGCCTGAGTCCCCGGGGTCTGGCCTAGGGGTTCAGAGTAGTCGGGGGCCCAGCACAGTCGGAGTTTTATCTCCTTTCCGCTAGGGAACGCCCGCAAGGCACTCCGCCTCCCTCCTCTCCGGCTCCGTCCTCTCCGTGCGCTGCGTCTCCGTACCTTGGGCTTTTCCAGCTCCTCCTCGCCTCCTTCTGGTTTTCTCCTTGCTTCTCGCTGTAGAATTTCCAGTCAGTCAATCTTCCTGTAGTTCTGGGCAATGTCTGTTTTATATTTTAGTTGTTTTTTATTGAAATTGTTGTTTGTGGCTGCGGCTAGGTGTTCACCTGGGCGCAGCCATCTTGGATCCCCTGCAGTTTCTCTTTTTGATACTAATTTCTGTAATAATGATTCTTTTATTCCTGTGTTTTTCTAGTTTCTGGAGAACTTTTGGAGCATTCTTTTTTACAGGTTCTTATGTTCAAAGAACATAACCTTTTGCTGACAGTAAACATAAATATATGGCACACTTTTTTTTATACCATACTTAAGTTTTGGGGAGGAATTATTTCAGAATAGTTGACTGAGTAAAAAATTTACTATTCAAGATCATTATAGCCCTTTTAGAAGAAGCAATAACATTAATTTCTTTACAAAGTCTATTGTCATTGTATATTTCTTAGATGAATGTAATGAACTCGAATTACATTTTCTTTAGGTTGGATTGGTTCTAAAATCCTCTTTCAGAGCTATTAGAATCAACCTCTTAAATCTCTGAGAAAATTTTTTAGGGTAGCTGTAATGAATAAGTTTTGCTTTCCTAAAATTTCTTGTTATTGAATGTATTTCATGAAAGTTAATTTTATTATTAAACCAATAATGAGCATGAATATTGGTGTTTTGCTATTTTTAAATAGGTCAGAAGACTTCTCTAACACAAGAAACAGAGCTATTGGAATCCTTACTTCAGGAGGTAGAGCACCAGGTAATGAAATATTAAATGCAATGAAGTTTTTACCCTTTTTTGTTCTTATGCTTTAAGATTCTTTTTAATAGAGATTATATAAGATCAAAAGATCTTGCCATCTATGGGCTATACTAGAGACTTTTATGAAGTAAGATTTAGCTGATTCTTCTCAAGTTTTCTCCATCAGGCTTGGGAACTAAATAAAATTAAGATTTATTTTGTTTTGTAAGACTGGTGCATAGCATCTAAATATGTAAAAGATTAAAATATCTGACTTTGTGACTTAAGTGGTGCCTTTGAAATAGAATATTATTGCCAATTACCTATATATACTATATGATTTTTATTATAAAGTTAGCATTTTTATTAAGTACATTTTAGTTAAGATTCAAAGAGTAGTCATTGTTTTAGGTATGTGGAACACAGCAATGGACAAAATGGTAAAAAAAAAAAAAAATCTGTCCCATAGAGTTTATATTTTAATTTGCTGGTAGGTGAGTGTTAAGTGTATAGTGAAAGAGCCCTAACTGGTTTGGCTCAGTTGATAGAGTGTCAGGCTGCGGACTGAAAGGTCCCAGGTTTGATTCAAGTCAAGAGCATGTACCTGGGTTGCTGGCACATTCCCAGTAGGAGGTGTGCAGGAGGCAGCTGATCAATGTTTCTCTCCCATCGATGTTTCTAACTCTCTCTTCCTCTCCCTTCCTCTCTGTAAAAAATCAATAAAATATATTTTTTTAAATGTTTATAATGAATGAATGAATAAATGTGTAGTGTTAATAACTATTTGGTATACTCGTCTTTTTTTTTTTTTTTTTTTTTAACCGTGTCACTCTTGCTCAGGGACCATGCTAATCTTTTCTATATTGTTCATATTTTGGTATGTGTGCTGCTGAAGAGCACAATATTAATTTGCCTTTCCTTTTTGTTAATCCTCATCTGGGGGTATTTTTTCCCATTGTTTTTTAGAAAGATGGAAGGGGAAGGTAGAGATAGAGAGGAACATCAGTGTGAAAGAGACACATCAGTTGGTTGCCTCCTGCATGCGCCACAGCCAGACTGGGGATTGAGCTTGCAACCAAGATTCCTGTTCTTGGCTAGAATTGAATCCTTGACCCTTAGTCTGTGGGCTGACACGCTGATCATTGAACCAAACCAGCTAGGGCTGCTTTTCCTTCTTAATTGCTGAGTAGTATTCTATTATATGTTATATACCATGATTTGTTTTTTTATTCAGCTGTTTATAGCTATTTGGGTTGTGCTTTTTTTTTTTTTTTTTTTTTTTTTTTTTTTTGCTTTTACAAATAAAACCACAATTGATATGAGCAAATTGCAAAATAATTTTGTTCAAAAAAGAAGGTGGACATAAAATGAGTATATAATGTGTTTGATTTCAGTTACATAAAACTCCAGGAAATGTGAACTTATCTATAATGTAAGAAAGCAGATAGGAGGTTGCCCAGAGGGGGAAGAAAGCAGGAGAGCTTACAAACAGACACAAACAAATTTTGGGAGATAATGGTAAAGTTCCTATCTTGACTATGGTGATAGCTTCACAGGTGTATACATTTGTCAAAACTTAAATTACACACTTTAAATACATGCAGTTTGTCTTAATTATATATATCAGTTCTTCATCAAAAAAAGTTGTGTGTTTTTTTAAAGCATATACCTGGGTTGCTGGTTGCTTGTACAGAAGGCAATCAATCAGTGTTTCTCTATCACATCAATATTTGTTTCTCTTTTTCTCCCTCACTCTCTCCCCTCCCCCCCATCCCCTTTACTCTTTATTACTCTTTCTCTAAAGTCAATAAAAACATATCCTCAGGGGATGCTTAAACAATAAAAATTTATTTTCATTGTTCTGGAGGCTGGTTTACATCAGGTATTAGCAGGTTTCCCCTGCGGTCCTTCAGTTTGGCTTGTAAATGGCTGCTTCTCTCTGTTTTCTAAACTAGAGGCCTGGTGCATGAAATTCCTGCACTGGTAGAGTTCCTAGGCCTGGCCAGTGATCAGGCTGATTGGGGCCTTCCAGCTGCTGACTAGGACCTCCCTTCCCCCCCTGCTGGCTGCCAGCTGGGGCCTTCCTTCTTTCCGCCCCGCCCCCTGGTGGTCAGCACACATCATAGCAAGTGATCAAACTCCCAAGGGGCAATTTGCATATTAGGCATTTATATATACAAATACTGTTACATTCTGAGGACTTGAAGGTTGGGATTGCAACATATGAGTTTTGGGGAGACAAGTTTAGCCCTTAATAGTTTACAAAGCAGTTTCACATTCAGCTTCATGATAGTTAAACCCAGCAAAGCAAGCATAGATATTATTCCAGTTTTACACATAAAATGACAGAGTCATATAATTAGTTTGTATCAGAACTAGAACTTAAGACTAGTTGTTTTGAATACAAAATTAGTAATCTTTTAACTACCATGCTTATTTTACAAAGGTTGCTTTTATCACTTTTTTACCTTTGGCTCTTTCCCAAATCGATATAGCTTTTTATGTGTGCATTACATCTTAATGTTTTTCTGGTCCTTGGAATGCATTTTGAGAAATCCTATTTGAAAGCTATAAACCTATTGGAGTTTGTTCATTAATATACATAATGGATTTACTGTAGTAGTGTAAAGTATATTTGTAGTTTTTAAAATTGTATTTACCGTCTACGGCCATACCACCCTGAATGCGCCCGATCTCTTCTAAAATTGTATTTACCCTAACATATGAGGAGAGAAAAATGCTTTAAAATCAATACACTTCATGACAATATTGTTAGAATAGAAATAAATAATCTAAGTTCTTTGTAGATTTTTCATTCTAAAACCCACTTTGAGTCATTCTATTTTTTTAATCTAATCTTTTTCAGTATATAATCAAAACAATTTTTATTTGCTTTATTAGGGATTTTGAGGTGCCACTGAACAGTAATTTTGTTTATTTAGTCAGGAACTTTTTTTCCTCACACAGTTACGATCTTGTAGTAAAAGTGAGTTGATATCTAAGAGCTCAGAAATCCTCATGATGTTTCAGCAAGTTCATCGCAAGCCCATGGCATCCTTTGTTACCACTCCTGTTCCACCAGATTTTACCAGGTATGACAGTTTTAAAATTTCATTTTCGTATTAAGTTTATGTGCAAATACATATAATTGTTTTTAAAAAACATTGTTTTTCTTTGCTTCATTTTTTTAAGGTTCTGTTTATAATGATGTGGTTTAGCAGACTTTATGCATATAAACTAAAAAATATTCTTGTGGACTTACACATTTTTTAGTGAAAAGAGAGGATGATAGTGAATTAGGAATTGATTTCTTCTTGGAGCTTCATTTTCCATACTGTAGAGAAGAAATAACTGATCACATTTTATTTCATGTCTGTCCCTTCGTTCCTTTTCTTAAATTAAGATACAATTGAAATAATATCCTATTAGTTTCAGGTTTAAACATAATGATATATTTTATATACTGGGAAATGATTACCACAATCTAGATTATAGTTTACATCCATCACCATACATAGAAAACATTTTTTTCCTTTAAAAAATATATATATATTTTATTGATTTTTTTTACAGAGAGGAAGGGAGAAGAATAGAGAGTTAGAAACATTGATGAGAGAGAAACATCGATCAGCTGCCTCCTGCACACCCCCTACTGGGGATGTGCCCGCAACCAAGGTAAATGCCCTTGACCGGAATTGAACCTGCGATCTTTCAGTCCACAAGCCGATGCTCTATCTACTGAGCCAAACCAGTCAGGGTGAAAATATTTTTTTCTTAAGACCTCTCTTAGCAGGTTTCAGATATGCAATACAGTGTTATTACTATAATCACCATGCTGTAAAATATAGGTCTATAAACTTTGTTTTGTAACTAGAAGTTGGTACCTTTTAACCTCTCTTAAAGATTCCTCATATAAATGAGATCATATAGCACTTTTCTTTCTGCCTATTTTACTTAGCATAATGTTCTCAAGGTTCAGCCATGTTTTCTCATGTCCATTTTTTAATTTACCTTTGAGTTTACTTATATTTTATTACACAGTGACTAGAACTCATTTACATATATGTTGTCAAAAGGAAAGCCCATAAAGCATGAAATGTTTAAAGATTTTAATGGTGACATGATGTTATCTTTTTATCCTAAAAAATCTGGAAATAACAGTTGGTTGCTTTCTACATATCTTTAGTTTTACCCCGGGCAGTTTTAGAATTCTTCTGAAGCAACGTATTTTTTTTTTTTTTTTTAATGTGTTGATTTTTTACAGAGAGGAAGGGAAAGAGATAGAGAGGTAGAAACGTCGATGAGAGAGAAACATCGACCAGCTGCCTCTTGTACACCCCCTACCGGGGATGTGCCCGCAACCAACATACATGCCCCTGACCGAAATCGAACCGCAGACTGATGCTCTACCACTGAGCCAAACTGGTTTTGGCTGAACAACGTATTTTTTTTAAGCATGTTTAAATTACTCTGTGCTGTTAAGAGCAGTGATTCTTAACACTGGTTGTATGTTAGATTCACTTGGGATTCTTCTGGAAATTTACCACTGTTGGCCTATAACCCCAGGATATCCTATATAATAAATCCTATATAATAAAAGGCTAATATGCAAATCGACTGAAGGTCAGAACGACTGGTCTCTATGACACACACCGACCACCTAAAAATTGGTGGTTTGCACCCTAACCAGTTTGACTCAGTCGACAGAGCATCGGCCTGCGGACTGAAAGGTCCCAGTCCAGGATGTGGGGAGTGCCGCTCTGCCAGAAGCCAGGTTCACAGCTGGCAAGCACAGCTGTGGTGGGAGCCTCTCCTGCCTCTGCCAGCAGCGCTAAGGGCCCCTTGTGGGATGTCTGCCTACTGGCTTAGGCCCACTCCCCACGTCCTGGACTGGGACCTTTCAGTCCGCAGGCCGATGCTCTGTCGACTGAGTCAAACTGGTTAGGGTGCAAACCACTAATTTTTTAGGCACTATCATAGTGTAAAAATGGTATAGATAAATCTTATATCTTATTTTGGTAATCAAATTTTCATGAAATGAACTTTAATGAGTATATCAGAAGATGTGAAATGACTTACAGTTCATCTTTTTGGTAAATTTATAGTGTTATATATTAAACTACAATAGAAGCCCAGTTTAATTTGTGCACTTGCCGGGTTGGGGGGGTCCCCTCAGCTAGGCTCATGTCCTCTTGAAGTCTGGAGCCCTCAGGGGATGTCCTACTGCTATGGAGGCAGGAAAGGCTCCTGCCACCGCCGCTGTGCTTGCCAGCTGTGAGCCCGGCTTCTGGCTGAGTGGAGCTCCCCCTGTGGTGGTGCACTGACCCCAGGGGGCAGTTCCTGTGTTGAGCATCTGCCCCCTGATAGTCAATGTGTGTCATTAGTGACTGGTAGTTCCACCATTTGGTCGATTTGCATATTAGCCTTTTATTATATTAGAGGCCTGGTGCACGAAATTCATGCAGGGGCGGGGGGAGGCAGTGTCTGTACCAGTCTGTACCCTCTCCAATCTGGGACATCCCTCTCACAATCCAGGACTGCAGGCTCCCAACTGCCCGCCTGACTCTGCCTGATTGCCCCTAACTGCTTCTGTCTGCTAGCCTGATAACCCCCTAACCACTCCCCTGCCAGCCTGATCGACACCTAATGGCTCCCCGGCCAGCCCGATTGTCCCTAACTGTCCTCCCCTGTTGGCCTGGTCACCCCTAACTGCTCTTCCCTGCCAGTCTGGTAACCCCAAACAGTCCTCCCCTGCAGGCCTGGTCACCTCCAGCTGCCCTCCCCTGCCCACCCGGTCACCCCAACTGCCCTCCTAAGGTTTGCCACTTTTGTGATTATGTATTCTTATCCCATAAAATTGCATAGGTTTATTTCCTAGTAAAAATTGTCTTTCAGAGGCAGTGGGGGAACCAGGCCAGCAGGCAGGGCAATTGGGGCTGACCTAGTAAAAATTCAATATTCCTCATAATTTGTTTTGAAGAAGGAAGTTTGGGAATTCATTGTGATGTCTTTTGTTTTTGTTGTTTCTTTTGTTTTTTAAACCTGTTTATATTGGTTCCATATTTCAGGAACCAGTTTCTTCCTTTTCCTATTTTATGAATTCTGTTTTACTTGTCTCTTATACTTACTTTAATACTTAATTATATATTGCCTTGTAAAAAATATATTTTATAGAGTATTTGTTTAGTCCTCTTATTTCATTGCAAACATTTGATGTAATCTTCTGATGGTTTTATGAATTTATTTGATTTAATGCTATTTTTAATGATTAAAATTTTTCTTAGGGATTTTAATTTAATAAAAATTTTAAGATATTATTAAGGGACTTTGTTTTTTAACTAAATGAAATTTTAAACTTACAGAAGCCAAATAATATTAATTTGCTTTTTTTTTTTTTTTTTTAGTGAATTAGTACCATCTTATGATTCAGCTACTTTTGTTTTAGAGAATTTCAGGTAAGAGTTTTTGACAACTCTGGCTTTTATATGTGCCAGGAAGGTGTTATTCCAGAGTAGGATAGACTAATGAACTGTGACACTCAATGTTGTCTTAGAAGAAACAAATTTCCTATTAGAAGCATAATGGTCATATTATTTCTTCAGGACCAATTGCTTCTCTGGTCAGGGGAAGGGAGCCATGTTTTATTTAATAGGGTCCACTAGGCCTGTGTTTCCCAAACTTTTGACATCTGTGTACCCCTTCTATAATTTTCTAACGCTGAGTAGTACCCTTCGTACTCATGAGAATGTAGAATTAGGCGCATCTAAGCATGGTGCAGTGCATATCCCCACCAAACTCCGGTGCAACGCGTACCCCCACCAAACTCTTCCTTTACCCCTGTGGGTACGCCTACCACACTTTGGGAAACACTGCTAGACCTTTGTGAAGATGGGGTGAAAGAGATGATAGAGGTCAATGAGCCCCTTACCCATCCTCAGAAATAAAGTGATAAGAATAAGTCCATTTGGTCCATTTTCTCTGAACTCAAAGTAAGGACAAGAAGTCATTATTTTAAGCTTTGTAACTTACATATAAAATTTTTTTTAGCCATTATTGCTTTTTCTCTAAGATTATAAATGCAGACCTTAAAACAAAAAGGTCTTAGGAATTTGTCTTCAGGGGCTGCATACCAAGAATATAAGGTCTTGTCTGGAGAGGAAAATTCCAGGAAGTGATAACCATCAAAATAAGGCAAAAGGAGAATTTATACCATTTCATATATAATTTGTTTTTCTTATGGGGTAATATTGTGGCCAAAATATAAACTTTCTAAGACTTTCCCCATATACATTAAGATTTAGCACATGCTCTTTTTGTTTTTCCATTTTAAAAAAAGGATAATTATACTACCAGGGATATGAGGAAGAGAGACATATTTTTCTTTTTTCTTTATTGATGAAAGATTACTTGTTGAAATGGTAATTAAATTCAGGATTCTTATTTTCCCTTTTCTCTACTGTCACAGTTTTGAGGTGATCTGAAACTGAAAGTCCTGCTGAATATTTCGGTATTATTAAATTTTATTTCTAGATGCAACTATGTATAAATTTATCCAGTGTGATTTTGACTTGATTAACCACCTTTTACTTTGTTCATGGCTTGAAGTAACATAAGTAAAGTGGTTTGTTTTGGTTTCAAGCTTTTGATTTGGTTGGTTTTCTTTTACTTTAGCACTTTGCGCCAGAGAGCAGATCCTGTTTACAGTCCACCTCTTCAAGTTTCAGGACTTTGTTGGAGATTAAAAGTTTACCCAGTAAGTTTTTCATATTTTTAATAATTCTTTTAAACGCATGCTCTTTCTTTCAGGGTTCTGTAGTACACAGGTTCACTCTTTTGGTAGAGTAAAAAATTAATGACAATTAAATAATAATTTTATTGATTGTTTTACAGAGAGGAAGGGGGAAAGGATAGTGAGAAACATCGATGAGAGAGAAACATCAATCAGGTGCCTCCTGCACACCTCCCACTGGGGGATGTGCCTGCAACCAAAGTACATGCCCTTGACCAGAATAGAACCTGGGACCCTTTAGTCCATAGGCCAATGCTCTATCCACTGAGCCAAATCGGCTAAGGCTAAAATAATGACAGCTTTAATGTTTCTTTTAAGTTCTATTACTAATTCTACGGAAAAGTGAGTTAAATATGAACAGTATGAACCCTGACATTGCTGAATCTTATTTATTATTTGTATGAAGACTCTTATCTTCAGCCCTAACTGATTTGGCTCAGTGGATAGAGCATCGGCCTCCTGGCTGAAAGGTTCCAGGTTCGATCCCACTCATGGGCATGTACCTTGTTTGTGGGTACATCTCCAGTAGGAGGTGTGCAAGAGACAGCTGATCAATGTTTCTCTCTCATTGATGTTTCTAACTCTATCCCTCTCCCTTCCTCTCTGTAAAAAAATCAATTAAAAAGATATATATTTTTTAAAGATTCTTATCTTCAGAAGACATGTTTAAAATTCTTATAAGTGTTTTTAAAAATAAAATACAGAAAGCCATCAGAACACATGTATGCCAATTGTGTACTCGTACATTTCAATATGTTTCATTGATCTCTGTATTTTCTGTAAATTAGCAGCTGGATTCAGTGACATGATGAGATCATAGTTGATTCCTATGGCAAGAATATAAGTAGTAGTGTTGGTTTTTTAATCACATGATGTCTAGTTGCATCTCTTTATGATATTGGCAGCTATTGATGCTCAGTGTCTATATCTATCACAACAGTGATATTCTCATTTTATAGGTGTTTTTTCCCCCACTTATTAGTTGTCATACTTTTATAAAGAGACTAGTGGCCCAGTGCACAAAATTTGTGTACTGGGGGAGGGTGTCCCTCAGGCTGGCCTACACCCTCTCATAATCCAGGACTGCTGGCTCCTAACCACTCACCTGCCTGCCTGCTTGATCACCCCTAACCACTGTGCCTGCCAACCTGCTCACTCCCAACTGCCGCCCCCCACCAGCCTTCTTGCCGCCAACTGTCTCCCCCACTCCCAACTGTCTCCCCCACTCCCACCCTCGCAAGCCTGATCACCCTCAACTGCCCTCTCCTCCTGGCATAATCGCCCCTAACTGCCTCTGCCTTGGCTCCACCACCATGGCTTTGTCTGTAAGGACACCTGGAAGGTCTTCCAGTCTAATTAGCATATTACCTTTTATTAGTATAGATACTTTCCTTTATTATTTGGTTAATCACTAACAGTTCATTTAGGAGAGGCAGGATTCTTTCCTGTTATTTACCAGTTTCCCATATTATTCTCTGAAAGTGATTAATTAGGTTTTTAAAAAAATTATGAACTCATGGATTTAAACATACTTAATCTTTTCAAGTTAGCTTCTGTGTCACTTTGCTGTCAATCTGAACCATTTATTATTAAAAATAACACATATAGCAAAACAGCCAACAACACACAAGAGTGCATGTTATGCCTCTCTATATCAAAGTGGCTGGAAAGGCAGCCATCAGGTGTTTTTCTTAATGTACAAAAGTTTCGAATTGTTACAGAATCAAATATTTTGGTCTTTCTATTATTTTTCTTACTGCTTCTAAATTTAGAAGTATGTCCCAATCCAAATATCATATATTAGTATATTTTTTTAAATGTGGCTTCATTTAAAATGATCTGAAATTTGTATTTCTATAACTTCCTTTTTTTTTTTAGGATGGAAATGGAGTTGTCCGTGGATACTACTTATCTGTGTTTCTGGAACTCTCAGCTGGCTTGCCAGAAACTTCCAAGTAAGACGTGATTAAATAACAAACTTTAGTGTGTGTTTAAATACAAGTACATTCCTCTTTATAATTTTTTATTAACTCTTTTGTTAATTACTGTATTATATTTGTGAAAGTGTACATCCCAGGAATAGTATGGTGACATAGACTGGCAGTTCTCTAATTGTATGACCTCAGGACTCTTTATACTCTTAAAATTTATTGGGAATCCCAATAAGTTTTTCTTTATGGGGGTTATATCAATTGATATTTTCTGAATTAGAAATTAAAACAGAGGAAAAATATAAAAATTGTATTAATTTAAAAACCTATTGTATATTAACATAAATATTTTTTCTTGATAAAATATATGTTATTTAACATTTTTGGAAATCTCTTGCTATTTGCTTAAAAAGAAAATGGCTGGATTCCCATATCTACTTCTATATTTAATTTGTGTGCAATGAGTTTTGTTGGTTGAAGTATATAGTATATAAAATCTAGCCTCACAGATTTTGAATATCATGTAGTTGAGAGAATTTTTTTTAATGAGATGATTTAAATCCCATAAAATTTATAAATAAGTCTTTGTCACCAGAGTTATAAAAAATATTTTTCATGTGGTAAAAAAGGGAGGAACACTTGAAAAAACAGTTTTAGATGATTGTGTCTCTTCTTTGACATTACACCAAATTGAACAAGTGCTTGTTTGGTAAATGTAATTTGTAATGTGGAATCCAAAACCATAATAGTAAATTTTACTTTATTACATTAAAATCTGTTGATTTGATATGAAATGTCTGCTTTCAGCTATTATGTAATAATAGAAGAGTAACCCTTTCTCTTGCAATAACCAAAAAGAAAAGATAAAAATAACATTTTCTAGACACTGGACATGAGGTAACCAATGGAAGCAATTCCCAATAGATAAGAAACAGACAAATGAATTCTATGATTGTCCCAGTTTACAGCCTTGAGAAAAAGTTCAGGAGGGTGAACTGAGATAGTCTGGCAGACTCCCTGAATTGAATAGACAGTGCTGAGTGTGCAGGAAGACCAGTGTAGCTAGAGCGTATTGGACAGAATACCAGAGAGAAGAGAGCTGCATAGGCAGAGAGCTCAGAGGTCTGTGGGGTGTTCCCTGTAAGAACTCAACAGGGCTCATTTAGGGCTCATTTGAGAGGAAACTACCTGAGTTTGGGGAAACAATAATCTGAAAGGATTACAGGAAGTGGTGTCTGGTGTTGATACAGGACCAGGATCTGTCTTTTTCTATTACAGTGGAGAAATTTATAATTCATGGGGCATTTGCCTCAGTAGAGGGGAATAGCTAAGTTCTAGACTGCACACTGCTCTGGGCCTACCTAAAAAAATGAAAGCAGCATCTCAAAGGATCATATTATTTCAAATAACTGTACCCCAGAGCAAAGCTCATGAAAATTTATAAGATCACAAAAATGTCCAGCACCCCACAAAGTAAAATATTCAATATGTGTTGTTCAATCAAAGTTTATCTGGCATTTAAAAAGATGGGGAGACATAACCAATAATGAGAATAATCAATCAAAATGAAGCAAGAACTTTTTCTTCATGTGGATTATATCAATATCTGAATTAGAAATTAAAATAAGATTTTAAAATTTTTTATTAATTCACTTAAAAATCATAATTATGTGTTAAAGACCATTTTCATGAATATAACTTTTTTGAAGTGAAATAATATTTGACGAGAAAGCTTGTGTTTTAGATTTTGAAATCTTTGAATGAATGTCTAGTTTTAAAAAAGCTTGATTTTCATGTGAGAAGCAGGAAACAGGGACATTTAAGACAGTTATAAGTATCCCATTTGTTCAAAAGTTAAGTAGGGATATATAAAAGACTCAAATTGAACTTAAAAATGAACTATATTTGAAATGTTAAGTATACTGGATCGCATGAATGACAGATTAAATATTGTAAAAGGAAAGATTACTCACATTTGAAGGCATAACAATAGAAACTGCCCAAGATGAAATAGAAAAACAAATTCCAAAACAGAAGAACCTGAAACAACTTAATGTATAGATAACTATTATAGAGTCCTTAAAGGAGGGAATCAGAAGAATTAGTAAAGAAAAAATGGGGAAAACTTTCAAAACTTGATAAAAATTTTAAACCCACAGATTTAGGAAACTCAATGAATTGCAAGCACAGGAACATGATGGGAACATCAAAGCACATTATTGCCAAACTAGAGGCTATGCACAAAGATTCGTATAAGAATGGCCCTTTTTTCCCCTGGCTGCCTGCACAGCCTTCGCTCTGGCCAGAACCACCATTCCACCTTCCCATGCTGCCCAGAGCCCAGCATCCCACCCCATCCCTGGCCACTTGCATATGCAAATTAACCTGTTGGCTGATGGGTGTCATAAAGGTATGGTCAATTTGCATCTTACTCTTTTATTAGTGTAGATTGCTCAAAACTATTGATAAACAGAAAATCTTAAACTAGCAATGGAAAAAAATGGCATTTATAGAGGCACAAAGGTAAGGATAAAATCAAGAGTTTGCACTGGAAACAATACCAGTGGAATGATAAAGGGACGTCTAAGAAAGGCTGAAGGAAAAAAAAAATCTAGGATTTTGTACCCAGCAAAAATATCTTTTAAAATACTAAGGTAAGGTAAAGTCATTTTCAGGCATATTTTCAAAACTGGACTATAAGAAATGTTAAAGCACATGCTGTACATACAAGGAAAATAACACTAGTTGGACATCTGAATCTAAACAAATTAAGAGCAGCAGAAATGGAAACTGTGTGGTTAAGTTAAAAATTTCTTTGCTATTAAAATAACTTTAAATGATAATTTATTATTTAAACAATATTAACATTGTATTTTATGGTTTAATGAATGTAGAAGTTAAAATGCATGACAACTAAAGCATAAAGGACAAAGTGTTAGAGCATGATTCTGATACTGTATGTGTAGTGGTATAATAAAGCTAGACTGTGGTAAGTTATTAAGTTCTGGAAAAAGCAGATATCTTAGTTGTTAATTCTCTTAATGCTTCAGTAATCCTAGAGAAGTATTTTGAATATTGTTTCATCAAACATTGAAATGCCATTTAATTGTGCAATTAAGAGTTTAAAGCTGAGGTACTTTAACTGTCAAAATATGGAATAAAAAATTATTGTATCATTGTCTAGTAGATTTTAATACCACCTGGGACCCTGCAGAAGTAATTTTTCATAATTTTATTATGCTTAAGTTTCTCAATATAATAGGTATATGTTAGCATTCATATGTGTGTGGGCTTTCAGAGGAAATCTGCATTTGAGTGATATCCTGGAATTGACTCTTAGCAGTATATTCTGAGTGATTTGTTTTAGAAACAGGAATTTGAATTGTTGAAAAAAAGAGTAGAATTTTTCTGGGGGAGTAATTTTAATCAGACTAAAATTTTAACTTAACTGTTGTGAAATTTATTCAGACTTTCAGTTTGATAGAAGAAAAGAATTTAAATTGGAATATTCCAGTTTAAGGTTTTAGTTTTATTTAAGTGCTGTGCAATTTAACTTGAATTATTGCCATATTTATTAGAAAAATAGAGCTGTATTAGTCATGATTTTAAAGAACTAATGCAGAGAAAAAAATGACCTTTTTTTTCAAACATTATATGTGTTTTTCATACAAAGGAACTGATTTTTAAAAAACTGTTTTATATTGATTTTAAACTTCTACTTATCCTTTTCTTGGATGTATTTGACCATCTGCATTAATATCTTCCCAGATTTTTCAATATTCTTGATTATTTCTCTGAGTTTTGAGTTTTTCACTACTCATTTTTAAAATAGTAAAAAGTTTATTTTTTTATGTGAAATTTACATGAAACATAATTAACCATCTAAAAATAAGCAATTCAGTGGAATGTAGTGCATTTTCAGTGCACTACACTACCACTTCTAATTTCACCATGTTTTCCTCACCCCAGAACATCCAATACCCATTAAGTAAACACTGCCCATTCTTTGCTTCCCCCATTCTTAGACAAACACTACTTTGCTTTCTCTCTGTGTATTTATTTGCCTATTCTGGATTTTTCATATAAAAGTTCATATAATATTGTAACTTTTGTGTTTGGGTTAGCATAGTGTTTGCAAGGTTCACTCATGTTGAAGCACATATCAGAAATTTATTTCTTTTCTAGAGGCCCAGTGCATTCATGCATTCAGGGTGTTGGGGGGGTGGGTCCCTCAGCCTGGTTATTATGAAAAACTCTGCTATAAACATTCATGTACAGGTTTCTATAGAGACAAATGTTTTTTTTATTTTATTTTAATGTATACCTAATTGTGGAATGGTTGGTTTATATGGTGATTCTGTGTTTAACATTTTGGGGAACTGCCGAACTGTTTTCATTGTACATAAATTCATATTTCTCCATATCCTCAACAACACTTATTTTCCATTTTTAAATATATTTTATATGTATCCTAGTATAAAGTGGTATCTAATTGTGGTTTTGATTTGCATTTCCTTAATGACCAGTGAAGTTTAACATCTTTTTATGTGCTTAGTGGCCTTTGTATATAACTTTTTTGGACAGATGTCTTTTCAAGTTCATTGCTCATTATTAAATTGGGTTGCTTGTCTTTTTGTTATTAAATTGTTGTAGGTAGCTGAAACCGGTTTGGCTCTGGTAGAGCGTCGTTCTATGGACTGAAAGGTCCCAGGTTCGATTTCGGTCAAGGGCATGTACATTGGTTGTGGGCACATCCCCAGTAGAGGGTATGCAAGAGGCAGCTAGTCGATGTTTCTCTCTGATCGACGTTTCTAGCTCTCTCTCTCTCTCCCTTCCTCTCTGTAAAAATAAATAAATAAATAAATAAATAAATAAATAAATAAATAAATAAAAATTGTTGTAAGTATTCTTCTCTCGGGTGCTAAATTTTTTATCAGATATATGATTTGACTATAGTTTCTCTCATTTTGTGGATTATCTTTTCGTTTTCTTGATAATGTCCTTTGGGCTACAAAAAGTTTTCATTTTATTTCATTTTATTTATTTACTTTTTTAAGTATATATTTTATTGATTTTTTACAGAGAGGAAGAGGGATAGAGAATTAGAAACATCAATGAGAGAGAAACATGAATCAGCTTCCTCCTGCACACCCCCTACTGGGAATGTGCCTGCAACCAAGGTATGTGCCCTTGACCAGAATCGAACGTGGGACCTTTCAGTCCACAGGCTGACGCTCTTATCCACTGATCCAAACCAGTTTTGGCAAAAGTTTTTATTTTAATGAGGTCTAAGTTATCTATGATTTCTTTTGTTTCCTGTACTTTTGGAGTCAAATCTATAAATCCGTTGCCAAATTTGAATTCATAAAGATTTATCCCCATGTTTTTTTCTGAAAGTAAGTTTTACCCCTTAGGTTGTTGATACATTTTGAGTTAATTTTTTGTTGAAGAGATTATTCTTTTTCTATTGAAAGATTTTGGCACCCTTGCCAAAAATCAATTGTGCATCAATATTTGAATTTAATTCTGGACATATAATGGTACCCTTTGTACTGTGGAGCTGGCTTAAGGACTTCCATAAAATCTAGACTAGGGGTGTCGAACTCAATCAGAGAAGGGGCCAAAATCTAAAATCCAGCCTAAATCGCGGGCCGAATGGTTTACTGAACAGTCATAAACTGTCATTGTGATGGAAACGCAGCAGAGTGCAGTGATGACGGCGCAGTGCGGGCCACATTGCAAGGCCTGGCGGGACGGATTTGGCCCGCGGGCCTTGTGTTTGACACGTGATCTAGACAGTCAAAAAATATCACAGCTCTTACACTGGTTAGTTTTTTGTGTCATCAATCTAGATGAACACGTTATAAGAGATACTAATATAAAAATCATTTGACAGTGCTTAAAGAAATACTAACACATAGTATTTGTAGTTAAAGAGCTGTAATTTTTTTCCTTATGTCTTTACTTTGCCAGCAGAAATAGCAGGTTGAGCTATTGTTTTTCTTTAAAATTTTACCTCCAGCCTGGCTGGTGTGGGCCAGTGGTTGACCCATGAACCAGGAGGTCATGGTTTGATTCCTGATCAGGGCACATACCCAGGTTGTGGGCTAGGTCCTGAGTAGGGGGTGTCCAGGAGGCAGCTGATCAGTGATTCTCACCATTGATGTTTCTATCTCTCCCTCTCCCTTCCTGTTTCTGAAATTTTTAAAAAAAATTTACCTCCACTTGCCGAAACCTGTTTGGCTCAGTGTTAGAGCATCGGTCTGCAGACTGAAAGGTCCCAGGTTTGAATCCAGTCAAGGGCATGCATGTACATTGGTTGCAGGCACATCCCCAGTAGGGGGCGTGCAAGAGACAGCTGGTTGATGTTTCTCTCTCATCGATGTTTCTAGCTCTCTCTCTCTCTCCTTTCCTCTCTGTAAAAAATTTACCTCCACTTTGCTATACACCTGAAACTAATACAAACTAAATTGAATGTAAACTGTAATTGAAAAAATAAAATCAAAAGCACATAAACAGATACAAAATTTACCTCCGCCAAAAAGGAGAAGTATTATGGTTACTACAGATGTAAGAATATGCAAACTTGTAGAGAATTTTTGTAAAAATGTATTTGAGCCAAACTGATGACATATGCTGGTGAACAGGATTTCAAATGTTCCCAAGAATAGCAGGCTTGCAGCAGCTTTTATGCATTTAAAATTAGGAGGGGAGAAAGATTGGAGAAAACAAGGTGGGGAGGATAGTTAAGATTGTGTGCTCTCTTGAGGCTTACTAACCCCTTCAGGGGGTATTACTTCTAAGTGTATTAACCTAGGTGCATAAGAACAATGGGCAGGGCTGGCTAAAAACCTTGCTGAAGACATTATAGGCCTACTGAAGGACTACCCACCATGACCTGAGCACCTGGGAATTTATGATCACATCATCCTGTGAGATTATTTTTTATAGAACCTCTTTTTCATCCGCATTAATATTGAGTCTTCCTTCTGATTACCTTTATTTCTTCACTTTTCTTCCTTTTTGTAATAATAGTGCTTTCTTAGTAAAAATGAGTTTGGATACTTAAGTTTTGTACTCTAAGATAGGGAAATCTAAATATATTGGCTTTCCCAACTTGTACTTATTTTCTGTCGGAAGAGTTCATAGGCTTGAATTTCTGAGTGTATAGTTAATTTATTGTAACTTGAATTGGAAAAATAGAATATTTAAAATGTACTATTTAGTTTGAAATTGCATGGTGATAAATCTCAAAGGAAATGGCAGAATTTTTATATGTGGAGAAATATAGGTAATGAATATGTGAAAAAACATATAAAAAAAGAAAATCATATAGCTTTGCTGAAACAAACAAAAGTAACTTTGAACGTACTATTTTATACAAATTTGTTTTATTTACTGAGGTGATTTTTCCTACCTGCTATATTGATAGATAATACTGAGAGGAAAGAGAGACCCTACTGCCAGTCATGTTGGGGTAGCCCATTCATAACACTGCTGTCTTTATAAATAATACCATCCTTTTGAAAGAAATGTAATTGTATATGAAGTTTCTTCTCAGTTAATTACTTAATGACCATCATGTTTTGATGAATCTGTTTTTTATTCTGGTTTGCCAACTATATTAATATTCAGGTTTTTTAATTTTAGATATGAATATCGTGTAGAAATGGTTCATCAGTCTTGCAATGATCCTACAAAAAACATCATTCGAGAGTTTGCATCTGACTTTGAAGTTGGAGAATGCTGGGGTTATAATAGATTTTTTCGTTTGGACTTACTTGCAAATGAAGGATACTTGAATCGACAAAATGATACAGTAATTTTAAGGTAATTGGAAACATTTGATACTGTGGCTTTTATCATGAGGGAATAATGTCACCAGAACTTTAAGAGTCTATTTATTTAACAAAGATGAATATTGAAATTCATACCAACTATAACCTTGCTATGTTCTTAACCATTTTTTTCAGGAGTCTTGTGTAGTCAGTGAAAAATTTAAGCTAGAAATGTGTTTGACATTTAGTTAGTAATTCCATAAAAAGGAAACTACTACTTCTAATAAATATAGTAAGGTCCTATTTATCTGTTGAACTTATTGCAACCTCACTATTTGCAAATCAAAAACATGGTCCTTTACTTTTTTTTCCTCTCACTTGACATTCAGGTGACAGGGTTTATATGCTGAATTTCACAACATAATTTCAGTTCCTTCTAGATAGCAGCAAATGAAAAGTATGGAAATAAAGATGAATCAAACTAAGTGATACTAGTTCGTATATTATTTGCAGAAATTATAGAACATAAACACTATCAAACCACAACAGCCCCATTTAATGTTGCGGTAACCACAAGTCAGAAATTTGGGGCATCATTACAAAATGATTTAATTTTTTTTTTTAATACATTTTATTGATTTTTCACAGAGAGAAAGAGAGAGGGATAGAGAGTTAGAAACATCGATGAGAGAGAATCATCGATCAGCTGCCTCTTGCACACCCCCCACTGCGGATGTGCCCGCAACCAAGGCACATGCCCTTGACCGGAATCGAACCCGGGACCCTTCAGTCTACAAGCCGACCCTCTATCCATTGAGCCAAACTGGTTTCGGCTAAAATGATTTAATTTGATGTGACAAATGAGGGCTTACATATTTAAAAAATGGACTCATGTGTTTTGAACTGGAGGTTTCACAATGTTTAATAATTTAGAACTTTCAATCAAAACAATTCTAAAAGCATTTTTCCTTGGTATACCACCCACATCCCCTCCCCCACCCCCCAGAATTATCAGTCCACTCCCTTTCTTTGCCCCTGATTCTATTATATTCAGTTTATTCTGTTCCTCAAATTTTTAGTTCACGTGATTTTTAGATTCACTTGTTGATAGATATGTATTTGTTGTTCATAATTTTTATCTTTACCTTTTTCTTCATCTTTTTTTAACAAAATATTTTAATTTTTTTTAAATAAATTTTTATTGTTCATATTATTACAAATGTTCCTCCACCCCCCCTCCATTGCTCTCCTCCACCAGGTTCCCATCCCACCCTCTGCCCTTTCCCCACCCCCTATTGTCCTCATCCATAGGTGCACAGTTTATGTTCAGTCTCTTCCCACATCCCCCTCTCCCCTTTTCCCCAAGAATCGTCAGTTCACTCCCCTTCCATACCTCTGATTCTATTATATTCACCAGTTAATATTGTTCATCAAATTTTTTTTTAATTTCCTTGGTTTTTAGATTCACTTGTTGATAGTTATGTATTTGTTGTTAATAATTTTTATCTTTATTTACTTTCTCTTCTGAAAGAACCCCCTTCAACAATTCATTTAATTCTGGTTTGGTTGTGATGAACTCCTTTAGCTTTTTTTTTTTTATTAGTGAAGCTCTTTATCTGACCTTTGATTCTGAGTGATAGCTTTGCTGGGTAGATTATCTTTGGCTGTAGGTTCTTACTATTCATCACCTTGAATATTTCTTGCCATTCCCATCTGGCCTGCATGGTTTCTATTGAGAAATCAGCTGACAATCGTATAGGTGCTCTTTTATAGGTAACTACCTTCTTTGCTCTTGCTGCTTTTAATATTCTCTCTTTGTCTTTTGCATAGTATGGTCCTGTTCTTGAGTCATGATCAACCTTGTATTTTAGCTAGATTATTACAATAAATAATGCTTTAGTAGGTGATATTTCTAAATGTTAATTTAGAAATGATATAATGGTATTTCTTTAGAACTCTACAGTTTAAGTATAGATATCTGGTTTATAGATGACTTTACAGAACCTTATTTTACTATAATTTGTGAACTACATGTATAAATGGCAAATATGAGGAGCTCTGACTACATTTTCAGTTGTGGCCTCAGATGATAATGAAACTTAAAATTTTAGAACTTACAGTTATAGATTCAAGGCTTGTTTGGATAATATTTTACTATTTGGATTATTTTTCATGTGCAGCTATTCTTTTAAGGTTTCAGGTTCGTTCACCAACTTTCTTTCAAAAATGCCGGGATCAGCATTGGTATATTACTCAGTTGGAGGCTGCACAGACTAGCTATATCCAACAAATAAATAACCTTAAAGAGGTAAGGACAAAAATACATATTTTGGGTTTAGTGTTTTATTTTGTCTTATTGGCCTGTTATCATTTATAATTAGATTTGGGGTACTTCTTGCAGTTTCGTAGAAAAGTCCAGTTATTTTGTTGTCCATTCTTAACAACTTTGAACCTGTCTTTACTGTTCAGTAGCCACTAGCCATACATAGCTAAGTAAACTTAAAAAAAATTTAGTTCCTTAATTGCACTAGCCACATTTTATTATTTTTTATTTTTTTATTTCAGAGAGGAAGGGAGAGGGAGAGATAGAAACATCAATGATGAAAGAGGATCATTGATTGGCTTCCTCCTGCACGCCCCCTACTGGGCATCGAGCCCGGAACCTATGCATGTGTCCTTGACTGGAATCTTACCTGGGACTCTTCAGACCTCAGGTTGACATTCTCCACTGAGCCAAACCAGCTAGAGCACATGTGTCAAACACAAGGCCCGCGGGCCAAATCCGTCCCGCCAGGCCTTGCAATGTGGACCGCACCGCGCTGTCATCACTGCACTCCGCTGCGTTTCCATCACAATGACAGTTTATGACTGTTCAGTAAACCATTCGGCCCGCAATTTAGGCTGGATTTTAGATTTTGGCCCCTTCTCTGATTGAGTTCGACACCCCTAAGCTAGAGCATGGCCACATTTTAAATGCTTATATTGGGCATTGCAGCTAGAAACATTTGCATCATTTCATAAAATTGTATTACAATGCTGTTCTAGTTTGAGGTTATCTCTCTGTGTTTTATTCAGTGATTTCTATATTTCTCTTCCCCATGCTGTCTTGAATTTAGAGGATTCAAAACTATAAAACAACTGAAAGTTGCCCCATCTTGAATTCTCACTACTGTTGAATTGAGCACTAGAAATGATCAGTTAATTAATTTTTAAAAAATATATTTTATTGATTTTTTTTTTACAAAGAGGAAGGGAGGGAGAGAGAATTAGAAACATCGATGAGAGAGAAACATCGATCAGCTGCCTCCTGCACACTCCCTACTGGGAATGTGCCCACAATCAAAGTACATGCCCTTGACCAGAATCAAACCTGGGACCCTTGAGTCCTCAGACCTAACATTCTATCCACTGAGCCAAACTGATAAAGGCCAGTTAAATAATTTTTAATTTTACCATGGTAAACTAAATATGTAAGGAATGTTTCTTTTTGCCAATGGAAAGAGATGGGGTGGAAGCTTTTGAAGTGCCGAGATTGGCTAATAGATGGGCCATCGCAATAATATTAATATATAGATAAATACATTCTTTCAGAGGTTTTTCATGTTTATGTACTATTTAAAACTGCCTGTATTTACTTTAGAGTTTGCTCACTGTACGTGTAGCTTGGTCTAGATAAAAGAAGGATGAGAATAAATTAGGCAACTTTTCTTTTCTTTTTAACAACTTTGAACCTGTCTTTACTGTTCAGTAGCCACTAGCCATACATAGCTAAGTAAACTTAAAAAAAATTTAGTTCCTTAATTGCACTAGCCACATTTTATTATTTTTTATTTAAAAAGAGAGAAGGGGGAGGAGGGGGAGAGAGAGAAACTCTGATGTGACATTTTAGAATATAGGTTATTTAGAGCATGAGACTCTGTAAAGCAGTCCTAGGTAGTTGACCCAACTTTGGGGCCAGGGTCTAAACTGCAACACAGGTATGTGTCCTTACCGGGAATTGAGCTTGAGATCTTTCAGTCCTCAGATTGATGCTCTAATTACTGAGCAACACTGGCCAGGGTGAGCAGTTTTTCTTTGTCATAGATTTTTCCATAAGCAAAAGGCAGCAGGTGGTGAGAGAGATGGTACAAGGAATGTTTTGAGAACATATATTTTTTTACTTAAAAATATGTTTTGCTTTTCTATAGAAACACTACTTATAACTCATGTTTATTTGTGCTGTTTTTGTTTTAAAAGAGACTTACTATTGAGTTATCTCGAACTCAGAAATCAAGAGATTTGTCACCACCAGCTAATCATCTTAGCCCCCAAAATGATGACAGTCCTGAGACACGATCCAAGAAGTCTGCGTCCTGTACTGACATGCTTCTCCAGGATGGTCCTATTTTAGCTTCTGTAAGAGAGGCCAAAGAGGATGAAGATGAGGAGAAGATTCAGAATGAGGATTATCATGTAATAATTAGACCAATTTTTTGGATTTATTTTGTGTTTGATAAGAGAAATTAATAAGATCATAGTTTTCATCATATGTAGAGAAATCAGTGTGCTAAAAATCTTATCTGTTAGTCAAGTCAGAAGTTACTGAATCAAAGTGTTTTAAAGTTTTATATTGAAGAAAACTACATTCTACACAACATACTAATGTACATTCTAGAAACAATAGATTGTGAATTTTTTTTAATATATTTATTTTTTACAGGGAGGAAGGGAGAAGGATAGAGAGCCAGAAACATCAATGAGAGAGAAACATTGATCAGCTACCTCCTGTACACCCCCTACATGCCCTTGACCGGAATTGAACCTGGGACCCTTCAGTCCCCTGGCCGACGCTCTATCCAGTGAGCCAAACTGGCCACGGCAGATTGTGAATTTTTTAAATGTGTTGTATTTTTATTCACTGAAACTAGTTGCATATGTAGATAGACTCATTTAGGATTTGGGAGATAGCCAGGTTTTGTCCCAGCTAAATAATGACCAGAATGAGAATTCAAGGAATGGTTGTTTTGTTTGAGGTAAGATAAGGATATAGAGAAAAAGTTTTTGATAGGATGTGGAGAAAAGGGAACTAGTACATTGCTGATGGGATGCAAACTGGTGCAACCATTATGGAAAAAAGCATGGTGTTTCCTCAAAAAATTAATGTGGAACTGCCATTTGACCCAGTGGTTCCACTTTTAGGGATATCTATATCCTAAGAAACCCAAAACGACAATCAGAAAGAATGTATGCACCCCTATGTTTGGAGCAGCACAATGTATTATAGCTAAGATCTGGAAACAGCCCAAGTGCCCATTGGAAGCATGAAACAGAGGGCAGAATCTTGGAGGGAAGGTATGGGCGGGGGATGGGAAGTAATCAACCAAGAACCTTGTATGCCTATATGCATAGCCCAAGGCCACTAACAATGGGGAGGTAAGGGTGGAGGGTGGGAGAGGGGGTTGGATGAGGTCAATGGGAGATAAAGGGGGGCATATGTAATGCATTCAACAATAAAGCATTTTTTTAAAAAGGAAAGAAGTATTACCTTAAGGCAAGCATGTCAAACTCATGGCATATCTGAAGCATTTCCAATTACATTAAGGGTTCCACTGCAATTGGCAGCAATAAACTAGTAGTACCAGGTAATGTGGTTGTGTGATTTTTTTTCTACAAGGCTTAGCGGATTAGGCACACAAGCAGAGAATTCTGATGATTGAGTAGTTGTTTGGTGCTTGCTCCATACTCAATTGTTCTATGAGATAAAAATCTTTATTTCTTTTCCTTGTTCTAGCATGAGCTTTCAGATGGGGACCTGGATCTGGATCTTGTTGGTGAAGATGAAGTAAACCACCTCGATGGTAGCAGTTCCTCTGCCAGTTCCACAGCAACAAGCAACACGGAGGAAAATGACATAGATGAAGAAACTATGTTAGTGTTGCACATTACCATATAAAACACCTACAAGATAATTAGAAGGATATTAATAAACCTAAAAGTGGAGATAGTTAGCATTTTATCTTAATAATCTTTATAAATAAAGGATGTTAAAGGAAAGGCTTGAATTAGTTTCCACTCTCTGATCTCTGGTTTCCAAACTGAGTTTTAATTTTTCTTTTTTATCTCACCCAAGGATATATTTTTTGTAGATTTTTATGCATGTCAGAGAGAGAGAGAGAGAGAAACAGAGAAAGAAAGAAACATCTATTGGTTGAGAGAGAGAGAGAGAGAGAGAAAAACAGAGAAAGAAACATCTATTGGTTGCCTCCTGTCCCAGGGATGGAACCTGTAACCTAGGTATGTGTGCCTTGACCGTAAATCGAACCTGCAACCTTTTGGTGTGGGGCAATACCCAGCCAACTGGGTATTCAGCCGGTGCCTGAATTTTAATTTTCGTTGTTAACTTTTAGTTTTGCCATTATTTCATATTTAAGAAAAGTCACAAAAATACTAAGAATTCCCCTATTTAAAAAAACTATCCATATTTTCTCCTCACATGTTAATATTTTGCTTTATGTTTCTCTTTTTTCTCTCTCACCATATAATTTTTTGTGAGACATTTGAGATTAGGTGGGTATACTTTCCATTATGTACTTCCAAAAAGCAAGTATATTTCTTATGTAACTACTGTGCAGTTATCAAAATCAAGAGACTAACATTGCTGTAATAGTGTAATCTGACCTTTTAAAATTTTTGCATTCTCCGGTGTCTTTTGGTTTAGGATCCAATGCAGGATCAAATGTTGCTTTTGGTTAAGTTTTTTTAGTTTGCCCCAATCTGGATCAGTCTTTGATTTTATTTTTTTCACTTTGTTTTATGTGTTTTTGACACTTTTGAGAAATATATATCAATTATTTACAAATTCTCAATTTGCAATTGTCTGATGTTTCCTCATCATTACACAGAGTTTATGCACCTTTGGGAAGAATACTACAGAAGTGGTGAGGAAATTTTTTTTAGGCATATTGTATGAGGGGGAAGTGGAGGGCATGTCTTTAATCTGTCCCATTAGGGTTGATTAATTTAGATACTTGCTGAAGAGGGTGTCTTCCAGGTTTTGATTAATAAATATCTCTTGGGAACATAATTTGAGACTGTAAATATCTTTTTCTCATTGTACTTTTTCCATTAATCTTAGCATCCATTAATGATATTAGCTTGGAAAAGATTACTGTTGTTGATTGCCAAATGATGATACCCATTATTCATTCTGACTTAGTTGGAATTATATTTTAAGGAAGAACTTTCCCTATTAATTAATTTTATTAATATGGATTCACGGATTCGTATATTATTAAATAATTATCATAATGTATTACTCAGATTATCCAAGATTTAGCCAATGGGAGCCTGTTAAAGAGATAACTCCTGTGTCCTTTGGGATGTCCTCATAATTTTTAAAGCACTTATTTTCTGGCCCTATAAAACATTCCAGATTCACCTGTAGTTTCTCTGTTTCAGCCCATTTTTTCAAAGGAAATAACAACAAAATACCAAAAATATCCGAAAATCCTAGCTGGTTTGGCTCAGTGGATAGAGTATCTAAAGAGTCCCAGCATATTCCTGGGTTGCGGGCTCGATTTGCAGTTTGGTGTGTGCAGGAGGCAGCTGGTCAATGATTCTCTCATCATTAATGTTTCTCATTCCCTCTTCCTCTCTGAAATCAATAAAAATATATTTAAAAATAAAATAAGGTAATAGTGTTTTTTGGTATGATAGATTGTGAGGACTTTGATAAGGGGATATTACCATTTATTCTGAAACTAAAGGCCTGGTGCACAAAATTTGCACCCTCTCTAATCTGGGATTCCTCAAGGGACCTCAAACTGATAATAAATGGGCAGTCACACATCCCTCTCACAATCCAGTACTGCTGTCTCCCAACTGCTTGCCTGCCTGCCTGCCCATAATTGCTTCTCCCTGCCAGCCTGATCACCCTCTAAACACTCCCTGCTAGCCTAATTGACGCCTAACTACTCCCCTGCTAGCCCGATTGCCCCTAAATGTCTTCCCCTACTAGCCTGGTCGCCCCTAACTGCCCTCCCCTGCAGGCCTAGTTGCCCCCAACTGTCCTCCCCTACTGGCCTGGTCATCCCCAACTGCCCTCCCTTGCCAGCCTGGTCGCCCCAAACTGCCCTGCCCTGCTGGCCATCTTGTGGTGGCCATCTTGTGTCCACTTGGGGCAGCCATCTTTTGTGTTGGGGTCATGGTCAATTTACATATTACTCTTTTATTAGGATAGTATTTTAGGAAAATAATTAGTATATGCATTAATTTGATCATCTTTCTTTTTTAACCTTAAAATGTAGTGCTTTGTTTGGTTATTCCTCACCTGAAGATACTTTTTCATTGATTTTTAGCAAGAGTTGGGGGAAAGGGAGAGACAGAGAGAGAAACACCCATGTGATATGGACACATGGGTTGGTTGCCTCCCACATGTGGCTCTGGGCCGGGATCGAGCCTGCAGCCGAGATACATGCCCTTGACCATAATCAAACTTGAAACCCTTAAGTCTGCAGACCAACATTCTATCCACTGACTCAAACCGGCTAGGGCTAAAATGTAGTGTTTTAAGCCTAATCTACTACCATTAAGGTACATATTATTTAAAGCTGTAATCTTTTACTCTACAATGGTTCTCAGGTTTTCTCTTTTAAATGTTTCCAAGCTATTTTAGTATTTTTTAAAAGGTAGTTTGACTATTAATACTAACTCTACATGTGATAATGACCAAAGTCTTTTTCTTCATTTTTGTACTTAGAAATATCCTGTCTTCATAAGAGAAAACTATGCATTATTTTTATAAAATTCATTGAGGTGTGACAAATAATGTTAATTTTACTTAACTCTGTGGGAATAATGAATTTTCTGTATTCTTAGGTCTGGAGAAAATGATGTGGAATACAACAATATGGAATTGGAAGAGGGAGAACTTATGGAAGATACAGCTGCTGCAGGACCTCCAGGTACAGGGGCCAAGTCCACAAGACATTCTGTCTTCCCTTTGTTCTTTTTTTATTGTATCATATTTTTTAAAATATATTTTATTGATTTTTTTTTTATAGAGAGGAAGAGAGAAGGATAGAGAGTTAGAAACATTAATGAGAGAGAATCATTGAGCAGCTGCCTCTTGCACCCCTTCCCCACTAGGGACATGCCCGCAACCAAGGTACATGCCCTTGACCGGAATCGAACCCGGGACCCTTCAGTCTGCAAGCTGCCGCTCTATCCACTGAGCCAAACCGGTTTCGGCTTGATTGTATCATATTTTAATATGTGACAACCACTAGCTCTTAAGATATTAATAGTAGCTAACATTTGATATATGTTCTTATGTATGAGGCAAATGTACTTTGTGTACTTTATCTATATAATAAAAACCTACATGACCTTTATAGTGGAACTACCAGAACGACCAGTCGCTATGTTGCACATTGACCACCAGGGGACAGACGCTCAGTGGAGGAGCTGCCCCGTGGTGGTTAGTACGCACTCACAGGGTGAGTGCCGCTTAGCTAGAAGCCGGACTCACCCTGGCAAGTCAGTAGCAGTGGCTGGAGCCTCTACCGCCTCCATGGCAGTGCTAAGGAGCAGTGAGCCTAGTGGTAAGGAGCAGTGGCAGGCAGGCAGTAAAAAGCGAGGGATCCCCGACTGCAAGAGCGCATAAGCCAGGTTAAGGGGGAGCCCTCTTCCTGTGCATGAATTTTGTGCATTGGGCCTCTAGTTTACTTATAAAATTATGAGATTCTAGGCCTCTGTCTTTCAAAATAGCCTCTCATCTGGGTTCCTTGTATCAATTATTGCTCCCCTTCATTCTGTTTCCCTCAGCATGAGTTCAGAATGTGTGTTTTTTCTTTCAAATTGATATCTGATCATGTCACTTCTCTACTTAAAACCCTTTATAGGATTCCACTTAGGATAAAGTCCAAATTCATTAATATGGTATAGAATGTCCTTTATGTGCTGGCTTCTGCTCATTTCTTTAGCCTGCTTATACTCCTCTGCATAATTTTTCAGCCCATCAAATGTACCATGGTATTTCTCACATCTTTGCTCCCCAACATGTTGTTCCTTCTACCTTCTCCTTATTTTTGCTTTTCATTTCTTTCTGGAAGCCCTCCTAGACTACTCGCCCTGGGTGTCTTTTCTGCTTTCTCAAATTAACCTATTAGGCCAAAACTGGTTTGGCTCAGCGGTAGAGCATCGGTCTGCGGACTGAAAGGTCCCAGGTTCGATTCTGGTCAAGGCATGTATGTTGGTTGCGAGCACATCCCTGGTAGTGGGTGTGCAAGAGGCAGCTGGTCGATGTTTCTCTCTTATCAACGTTTCTAGCTCTCTATCTCTCTCCCTTCCTCTCTGTAAAAAATAAATAATATATATATATTTTTAAATTAACCTATAGGATCTAAAGAACCTATTTAACCTATGTTAAACATTATTTTTATTGCTTGTATAGCTATTTTGCTTCTCACCTCTGCGCTCCATGAAGCAATATAATGTGTATCAGAATTTTGTATCCCTAGCACTTTTAACAGTATAATAGGGATCACATAAACATTGAGTAAATATACTTTATTACTAAGTTTTCAATGTAATTTTTAGAGTTTTAAATAGTGCATAAAAATTCAGAGGTCATCTATATAAAAAGGATGATGAGTGTACTAAGTCAAGGTTATTCAATAATTTTCAGCCTTTTTTATATATATATATATATATATATACATATATATATATATATATATACATATATATATATATATATATATATATATTTCTTTATTGGTTTTGGAGAGGAAGGAAGAGGTATAGAGAGGTAGAAACATCAATGATGAGAGAGGATCATTGATTGGCTGCCTCCTGCACACCACATATTCGGAATTGAATCCACAACCCAGGCATGTGCCCTTGGCCAGAATTGAACCCGGCGGAACCCTTCAATTCACAGGCCAATGCTCTATTTACTGAACCAAGCCAGCTAGGGCAATTTTGTTTTTTAAGTTAAATCTGATTTCCTCTCTCTTCAACTGTATTGTAGGGAAATTCTTATGTATAACCTTTTTAGACACTCGGTGTAACCATGGGTTATATTTTTCCAATTAACGTATTAATTCACCAAATATTTACTGAGCACTTAACTGAAACTGAATACAGTTTTACTTTCAGGAACTACAATATTGAAAAAAAGATGTCCCTGTTCTCATGGACCTCATAATAATGTTATGTTCTGTAATTCTGAAATTATAATTTATTTGTTTTTTATACACACGCACACACACACTTTTTTTTGAGCACTTAACTATAATTCAGACATTGAATTCTAGATGCTGAGGATACAATAGTGAATCAAACAGTTAATTTGTATTTTGTGCTTTGGGGAATTTTATATATTTGGTAGGCATTTATTGAAATTCCTATTTCCAGATTTCTGGAAAATACGATGAAAAAGAATTACTTTTAAGTAATTTATAATCTGAAGGTGAATAGGTATATAACCAATATATATAAGTATAAGAGTACACATACAAAAGAATTCCAAATAATTTTTTTACATATTGCCTCTTCAAGGAGGTGAAGTATAACTTGCCACCCTTAAATGTAAGCTATACTTAGTGACTTACTTCCAGGTATTACAGTGTAAAATATATTTAAGTAGCTTTTTTAAAGGTTGATTTTTAACCAGTCCTATGAAATAAAAAGATAACATGCAAATTAACCATCACTCCGTCACAAATATGGTGGCACCTAGTCCTCTCAGCTCTGTGGGCTTCCCCCAGTCCCAGGGGGGCTGCTGCAGAGAGCAAGTAGCATGAGCAGCCTGGCACAATGCTTGCTTTGTTCCAGCTATGCATGGGCCTCTGGTCCACCGAGAGCCTCTGGGCAGAGGGTGCATAGCAGCTAGGCCCTGCAGAGAGCTACTGACACACGGATTCTTGTGCGGGGCTACTAGTATTTTCATAATTTTATATGCTAAGCATTGTACTAGGCACTAGAGAAAAGTCAGGTGGTTTTCTTGGCTTAAAGCTTAGTTCAACATAGGTGATATAAATAGGACATTTGCTCACAATCTATACTGTGCATCAGTCAATAACAAGTTCTGTCTAAAAACTTCAACTTGTGTTCCAGTACTTAAGCTAGAAAAAAAGTGTACCAAACATGTCATAGATCTGTACAGTTTGCTATCCAGAGACCTGGAGTCAATTCCTATTTTAGTGTCTTAATTCTTGGAATCTGTTATACCATGGAGATTTGTCTTTCATTCAAGACCACTGGGTTATGAGATATGTTCACCTTTCCTAATTCTTATTCCACTAATTGTATATACTGTATACATTGTCACTTTTTTATTTCTATGGCTCAGGATGAGTTTGAGGGTTGCTCCTAAATTCTGGATAATAATGAGGCCAGTGCTCAGTCACTGTGCCTGTGTACACCTCTATGGCAATCGGGTTTCTTCATTGTGCTTCTCATTATGAAAATCAAATCCTAAGAGACAAGTATTCAAACATCAACCAGTTTACTTTTTTCTTTTAAGTACACTTAAATTTGTACAAATATATAGCATGCATTTTCTGTATTTTTTTTTCTTTCTTGCAGGTAGTAATCATGGCTATGTTGGTGCCAGTAGTAGAATGTCAAGAAGAACACACTTATGTTCTGCTACTACAAGTAATTTATTAGACATTGATCCTTTCATTTTAATGCATTTGTTGGACCTTAAGGGCCGGAACAGTATGGAAAATTTGTGGGGCTTACAACCTCGCCCACCTGCTTCACTGCTGCAGCCCACAGGTAACATATTAATAGTGGTTTTCTTTTTTTGTGATTCCCTAAAAGAACTCTTAGATTTTAATCTAAGTATTTCATCTAAGTGTTGGACTGCAGTATATTTTTGTAGCAAATTGATTTTTTCATTGTAAGTCATAAAATGACATTTCTATTAATCAATTTTTTTGTTATTGTTCAAAGATATTTTGTGTGAAAATAATGTAAAAAATGCCTATAAGGAGGGTTGGCTTCTTTTTTTTTTTTAATGGTTTGCCCTTTAAATTGCATGTAATTGACAGTTTGATTCATATGAAATACTACAGTTTTCCTCTCTGTAAATGGACTTAGAGTTTTGCACAATTCATGAATACCATAACTTCCAAGTAGAACTCTGTCTAAGTTGGATATAGAAAAAGATGGTATACTCACACTTTGATGTTCAGTAGCCTAAAAACCTAAATCAGCTAGCAGCAGTGTTTTAGGTATTTGTTGAAGTTACATGGGTTACTTTAATACAGTGTATATAAGTACATATTAAAGGTATAGTCAATGTTGGACTTTTCGAAACGCTATGGCATGGTCATTTTGAATAGCTAAAGATTTACCTTTAAATGACACATTTTAAAAACTATTTTTGTTGGAAATCTTTTAAACATACCAAACATTTTCCTACCTTCTTAAACAACAGCACATTAATCAGTGGTTAAAACAATAATTTTGATTCTTTAAAGCTGTGGAACTCATTTTTCAAACAAAGTAGAGCTTCCGTGTAGAAATCAGAGAATTACTGGGTGTACTGGTTAATAATGGTGGATTTTGTAATCAAAGAAAATACGATAATTTCAAGAGAAATATCAAGTGTTTTATTCAAAGTAGTTTGCATATTTCACAATGCAGAATGGTTTTATTTTTTTTAAATATATTTTATTGATTTTTTACAGAGAAGAAGGGAGAGGAATAGAGAGTTAGAAACATCAATGAGATGAAACATCAATAGGTGCCTCCTGCTCCTTCCCTACTGGGGATCGAGCTGGCAACCTGGTCATGTGCTGTTGGCCTGAATCAAACCTGCGACTGTTCAACCCACAGGCAGATGCTCTATCTACTGAGCCAACCCAGCTAGGGCCAGAATGGTTTTATTAATGTTAACATCTATCTTAACATGAGTTTCTCTCTCTCTCTCTCTCTCTCTCTCTCTCTCTCTCTCTCTCTCTCTCTCTCTCTCTCTCTCTCTCTCTCTCTCTCTCTGAAGTTTCATATTCTCGAAAAGATAAAGATCAAAGGAAACAGCAAGCAATGTGGCGAGTTCCCTCTGACTTAAAGATGCTAAAAAGACTGAAAACTCAAATGGCTGAAGTTCGATGTATGAAGACTGATGTAAAGAATCCACTTTCAGAAATAAAAAGCAGCAATGCTCCTTCTGGAGACATGCAGACAAACCTTTTTTCTGCTGACCAGGCAGCTCTGGCTGCATGTGGAACTGAAAACTCTGGCAGATTGCAGGATTTGGGAATGGAGCTCTTGGCAAAGTCATCAGTTGCCAGTTGCTACATACGAAACTGTGAGTGTCTTTTCTCCACATGTCATTTGGGAAGCTAGAGGACAGGTTATTTTCAGAATAATATTACTAATAAAATCTCCCTTACAATGAATTAAGACTTCAGACATATACCACCCCTTCTCCTATCTAAAACAGATTATATTTTTGCCCTGGCCAGGGTACTCAGTGGTTAGCATCAGCCTGAGCACCAAAGGGTCTCCAGTTTGATTCCTGGCCCATTTGGGACACATGCATAAGGCAACCAATTGATGTGTTTCTCTCACATTCATGTTTCTCTCTGCCCCTTTCTCCCTCCCTTCCACAATCTAAAAATCAATGGAAACAATATCCTCCAGTAAGGATGAAGAAAAAATAAAACAGACTATATTTTTAACTGTATAATCGAGCTTACATTTCTTGATTGCTTATCCTGTACTGGGCAATAAGCACATAATCCTTAACCTTGTGGATCTTGCATTTATGTATTTTTATGGTGGGGACTAGACATTAAAATGTGTAAAGAAGTCAAGATAATTGCAGTTGATAAAAAGTAAAGAGTGCTATGAATGAAATAACAGAAGAATGGGTGGAAAGAGCAGGTGAGGAATGTGTTCCTTAGGGTAGTCCTAGAGAGTCTGAGGGAGCAACATTTGAACTGAGACCTGAAGGTTGAGAAGGTGACAGCCATGCAAAGATCTGTTGGAAATGTTCTGGGTAAACAACAGAAAATGCAAAGTTACTGGTAGGAGATTTGCTTTGCATATTTGAAGGCTCAAAGGAAGACCTTATGGTTGAATATGGTGAACACAGAGGGGAGAATAATAGGAGATAAGCAGAGAGGTAGGCAGGATCTAGCTCAGGTAGGGTTTTGGTAAAACCTCAATAAAAAGTTTTGTGTTTTATTCTGGTTTTAGGAAGAAGTCTTTAAAGAACAGAAATCAGAGTATTTATCATCTGATTTACCTTTTACAAAGATTACTTTGCTTGTTTGGTGGAGAAGGAACTGAAAAGGGTTGAGAGTGGGAGTTGTGAGACTGTTGCTGGTTGAAATGGAGTCCTTGTGGTGTTGCAACAAAAGTATTTCTGGGGAGCCACATGAGGGGATGAGGTCTGGTGGGAATACTTATTTGGGTGGAAATAGAAGGCTGCCCCCAGGTTCCCAGTGTCTCTTCCTGTCATGGAAGAAGTCCAGCCAGAAGTTCTGTTCCATGCCTTAGCAATAATAGAATTTTTGTAATGTTTGCAACTCTATTTAGGAATCCCTTTAGTTTTTTATTCTCAAGCTCAAAATATGTTGTATGTTTCAATGAATAGTTTTATTTTTAAAAATAATTTTTATTGATTTCAAAGAGGAAGGGAGAGAGAGAGAGAGAGAGAGAGAGAGAGAGAGAAACATGATGAAAATCATTGATCGGCTACATATCCCTCACTAGGGACCAAGCCTGAAACCCAGGCATAAGCCCTGACCAAGAATTGAACTGTGACTTGGTTCATAGGTTGATGCTCAACTACAAAGCCATGCCAGCTGGGCTTATTATTTTACAATAGGAACTGTGAGTGCTTCATTCAAGATGGTATGGGGTGTGATGGATCTTTTGCATTTTCATATGGATTTTATAATTGGTTTGTCAGTTTCAGCCATTAGAAAAAAAATAGCTAGAAGTTTTATTGGGTTTGTGTTGAAATCTATAGAACAACTTTGGGAGTACTGTCATAATAAGTCTTCCAATCAGTGAGCACAGTATTTTCTTTTTCTTTCTTTCAACAATGTGTGATAGTTTTCAGTGTACAAGTCTTATGTTTCTTTGCTTAATTTTTTCCTCTGTTTTCTACTTGATGCTCTTGCAAATGGAATTTTTTTTTTTTTTACATTTCATTCTTAGATTGTTGGATTAAAAAATAATTGATTATTGGGTTATATTGTTCTACCTTGCTGAACCTGTTTATTATATTTTAATGCATCTATGCTCTTTAAAATTTTATTTTAATTCTTTTTTTAAAAATATATTTTATTGATTTTTTACAGAGAGGAAGAGAGAGGGATAGAGTGTTAGAAACATCGATGAGAGAGAATCATCAATCAGCTGCCTCCTGCACCACCCCTACTGGGGATGTGCCCGCAACCAAGATAACATGACCGGAATCGAACCTGCGACCTTTCAGTCCGCAGGCCGATGCTCTATCCACTGAGCCAAACTGGTCTCGGCTAATTCTTTTTTTTTTTTTTTTTTTTTTTTAATATATCTTTATTGATTTATGGGAGGAAGAGAAAGGGAAAGAGAGATAGAAACATTAATGATAAGAGAGAATCATTGATTGGCTGCCCCTGTACATCCCCCACTGGGGATAAAGCCAGCAACCTGGGCATGTGCCCTCGGCTGGAATCGAACCTGGGACCCCTTGGTCCGCAGGCTGACACTTATCCACTGAGCAAAATCAGCTAGGGCTATTTTAATTCTTTTTATAGCTTCTTGAGTCTCTGCATGTTGGGCTATTTAATATCAGGGTTTTTTTAATTCATTTTAAGGCCATCCATTTCTGCTAATTACTGATTTAGCCACAAACATCTTGAAGCATGGTAATTGTGGTTCATTTCTAATTAAACATTTCCTTTCCAATCCAGTAATATTTTATCATTTCCAAGTATTTACCAGTTAATTTTTATCATTAATACTAGTTTAATTACATGGAGATTAGAGTCTATACCTGGTATGATTTTTCTTTTGAAGTTTACTGACTTATTTTTTTTGGATTTGTAAGTTAACACTGTTCTACAAGCAGAAGAGTAGGAGTACTTTTAGAATAAAACCCCTAATAAACCAGTTGGGACCAAAGCATCCTGTTTTGTTTTGTTTTGTTTTGTTTTGTTTATTTTTGACATTGTAGCTAGAATACCTTTCTTGCATGTTAAGATTAAACCTTTCTCTGACTGCCTACGTAGTGATTTTGTGCTATTTTATCATATTCAAAAATGTTTTTAAATGTCTTTGCAGCCACAAATAAGAAGAGTAATTCACCCAAGCCAGCTCGGTCCAGTATAGCAGGTAGTCTATCACTTCGAAGAGCAGTAGACACTGGGGAAAATAGCTATTCGAGGGGAGACTGTCAGCCTCTGTCTGAAGGTAAATTTGAAGAGTTCAAAATGTAATTTTCATGAGTGGATGTCTGTTACTCAGAACTGATCTTACAATATAGCTTTAGATTATACCATAGTGTTGAAACGGGTTTCAGAAGTTTCTTGATCTCACAACAGATTAATTAGACCCATCAGTAAAAAAATGCAGCCATTAGATTGCATATTTTGGATGCCTTAATTTTAAACAGTGGGCAATAAAAAGATTTATGACAAATTTAAAATTATTTTTGCATTTTCCTTTAGTTTCAAAATATATATATATGATAAGATCTGAAGTGGAAATCTGAGAGAGAACATTTTGTTTTCCTTTTTTCTGAATATCCCCTTTCTTTTCTGTAGTTTCTCCAGGGAGCTCTCAGTCTGGGAGCAGGCACAGTTCTCCCCGAGCCTTGACACATGGCAGTTTCGGTGATATTCTGCCGAAATCTGAAGACCTGCAGAGTCAGTCTTTGGACTCAAATGCTATTGTGGTTACAGTTATCAATGGCTTACCTGCTGTTGAGAAAAGAAGGAAGATGGTCGCCTTGGGGTAAATTAAGTTTTTGTTTATGAAATGAAATAATAGCTTCCTAACGAACAAAATAAATTTCTAGTATGTTAATTTTTTAGCAGAGATAAAGTTCATTTGTTGTATGAAAGTGCAACTTTTAAAGTATCAGAAACCTGCCCTTGCCAGTGTTGCTCAGTTGTTGCCCCCATACCAAAGGGACTCTGGTTCTATCTTTAGCCCCAGTTAGAATACATGCTGGAGGCAACCAATCCATATGACTTTCTCATATCAATGTTTCTCTCCTTTCTCTCTTTTCTCTCTCTCTCTCTTCTTCTCCCGTCCTTTTTCCTACTCTCAAAATTGAAAAAAGATATCCTTGAGTGAGGATTTAAATAAATAAAAAATGTTTCTAAACCCTTACTTTTTTCCTTAATGGGATGATATAGTACCAGAAGTTTAGTTTAGTTTAGTTTATGTTAGAGCTCATTTTCACTGAAATTAGGATAATAATGTTGTGAAACCTTACATGACCTCTGCCTTGTGGCATTTTTTTGTGTGTCAGCCATTTTTTCCACCATCTGTGCCACACTTTTCAAAGAGATCTTTGCTGGGCTGTATTGTATTTCATAGACCTTTTACACATAATTTGTATGGAACAAAGCGCTTCTGGCAATTTTATTTTAACAGTGTTTTTTATTTCATCTTTTCCTCTCCTCTTATAAAAGTGTTCTCAAAACTCAGTTGGAATTTCCCAAAAGGATATATGCAATAGTCAGCACCTTTATCTATCTCCTAGGAAGCATAAGCTCAAACCTCAGCCATGTCAATTTCAATTAAACTTTGATCCCCTCAAAAGATAGAGTGATGGTCTATGAATGTGCTAGATGAGCTTTTCTTAATATCCATTTGCTGACCTATTTTATGGATGTTAAATACATTTATAATTAAACAATGGAATGATTTTACTTTGAGGCTTTGAATTAAATTTAGAGAAAGATTTACATCTCTTGTGTGCTAACTTCATACAGTTTTAAGATCTGGACAATTACCAAACCTAAAAGGGTAGCTGGTAGTTTAATTTTCTGTTTTGACTCAAGTTGAAGCAATGGAAAGGTGTTATAATCATTGGCAATTAACTTGTCCTCTCCATTAGTTAGCTTGATTTTATACATGTTCCTTTCACATTGAAGCTACAACCAGCTTTTACATTTTGTGATGGAAACACTTATGTCTGCCTTTAACCATAAACATTAAATATAGATAAACATAGACTCTTTTTCTAAACTGTAAAATTCTTTATAAGTGACTGCAGCTCTTAACTATTGGGTCGGCAACTAAGTAATTGCGTATTTTTTTGAAAAATTTTTTCATGGAACTAAATAACTTTATTCTGTAATGTATTGCCCATTTTGATCAATGACCTTTTGCCATCTTTCAGGCAGCATCATAATCCCACGTTCAAAAAACTTCTGGTTTTTATTAGCAAAAAACTGAATCAGGTACGATTTGACATCATTATCATTATTGAAATTTTTACCATTCAAGGAGTTTTGTAAAGATCGAAACAAAAAATAATCAGATGGTGCAAGGTCAGGACTATATGGTGGATGTGGCAAAACATCCCAACCAAGCTCCATTAATTTTTGCCGAGTGACCAAAGATGTGTGTGGCCTTGCATTGTCATGATGGAATACAACACCTTTTCAATTTGTCAATTTGGGCCGCTTTTCTTCAACTGCATTGTTTAATTTCGTTAGTTGTTCAATATAGACATCAGAATTGATCGTTCGGTTGGGTGGTAAGAGTTCAAAGTAGACAATTCCTTTGTAATCCCACCAAACTGATAACAAAACCTTCTTTTGATGAATATCAGCTTTTGATGTTGTTTGAGTTGGTTCACCTGGCCTGCTCCACGATCTTTTCCACTTGATATTGTTGTAAACAACCCATTTTTCATCGCCAGTTATCAGTCGTTTTAAAAATGGATCATTTTCATTACGTTTCTTTAGCAAATCGCAGCTGCTAATGCGTTGCGTTAACTGTGATTCTTTCAGTTCGTGAGGAACCCATGTATCGAGTTTTTGAACATAGCCAAGTTGTTTTAAGTGATTTTCAATGCATGTATGTGATACATGAAGCTTCTCTGCAATCTCACGTGTTGTACTGTGACAGTCCGAATTAATTATTGCTTTGATTAGGGCGTCATCAACTTCAACTGGACGACCAGAGCGTTTTTCATCTTTGAGTGAAAAATCACCAGAACGAAATTTGGCAAACCAATTTTGACACTGCCATTCTTTTAAGGCTTTGTCACCATAAACAGCACATAACTTTTTATGAGCTTGCGATGCGTTTTTCCCTTTGCGGAAATAAAAAAGCAAAATATGACGAAAATGTTCCTTTTGATTTTCCATTTTTCAACGAACGCCAAACAAAAACTACAAAACAGATCAAAAAACTTTTTTTACTGATTAACAGCTGAATAGCCAACTATCAAATAACAAAATGTGTTTTACATTTGTACTACGTCTGCAAACCTAAAAATTCAACTGAAGCCATATATGTGTGAAACCCGCAATTACTTAGTTGCCGACCCATTTTACAGTTAATAGTATCATCAGCCTGGCTCATGTAGTAGTGTCCAACTTGGGTTTTCTTTTCATTTCCTGGTTTAAAGTAGTGTAAGCAAAAATTTTAATAAAAGTGGTTCAGAAAAGTGAGCAAAAGAAAGACTATTAAGTGAAAATTTTCCCATTTTTGTCTTCCATCTGCTTAGTTTTCCCATCCCTTGCCCACATACATTCCTGCTGTTAATTTTTTATATATGACTAGAGGCCTGGTACATGCATTCGTGCATGGTTGAGGTCCAGTCGGCACACCCCAATTGGGGCTGATCTGGCCAGGCTGGCAGGGAGGAGGAGCCGCCCCTTGATTGAACTTCCAGACAAGGGGACAATTTGCATATTAGTATTTTATTATATAGGATTATATAGAATGTTTGTGTTTCTCGGTTTCTATACATATTTAAGCAACTGTGAGTATATAGCTTTTTTAATACAAAAGATGCTCTTATTTTCTTACCCAATATATCTAAAAATGCTCTTATTTTCTTACCCAATATATCTAAAAAGTCTTTTCATATTGGTGAGAAAATATTTCATCTTTTTAATTGAAATTTTTGTTGTAGATTCACCTGCAGTTGTTTTTTAATTAGAATTTTTGTTGTAGATTCCATGCAGTTAAATAATACATAGAGATCTTGTGTTCCTTAACCAGTTTCTCCTCATGATAACAATTTGCAAAACTAGTACAATATCACAGCCATGATGTTGACACTGATGTAGTCCATTTTATAACCTTTGTTGTGAGTCCTCTAGTGAATTTTTTAAATAAACTTGAGCCCAGCCAACGTGGCTCAATGGTTGAGCTTCGACCTATGAAGCAGGAGGTCATGGTTCGATTCCCGGTCAGGGCACATCCCCAGGTTGCAGGCTCAATCCCCAGTGAGGGCCATGCAGGAGGCAGACGATCAATGATTCTCTCTCGTCATTGATGTTTCTCTCTCTCCCTCTCCCTTCCTCTCTGAAATCAATAAAAATATATTTTAAAAAGTAAACAAACTTGAAATTTAGTATTAAACATCAGTGCCATATATCCTCAGTTGCAGAAGAAGAAAATATAGATACAATTATCAGTGAGTAGTTTTAGAAAAATATCAAGTTGTTTTCTTCTTTGAGGGCTAATGTTAAAGGAGGTCGTCTGGAAGGAATGCAAATGACTGACTTGGAAAATAATTCCGAGACTGGGGAATTACAGGCTATACTGCCTGAAGGAGCTTCTGCTGCCCCTGAGGAAGGTAAGGAATGACAAGTCATAATTAGGAGGTGGGAATAATGGCCTTTTTGTGGTGGTGGTGGTGGTGGTGGTGGTGGTGGTGGTGGTGGTGTGGATTGGTTGGTTTAACCATTTGTATGCCATAAGCGTCTGTAGACCGATTTAAATTCAGAATATCATGGCTTGTGGGGATAGTCTCTGTTTTGGACATGTGGCAGTTAACTGGTTAATTAAAAAGTTATTGAGGCACCCTAGTCAGTTTGGCTCAGTGGATAGAGTGTCGATCTGCAGACCGAAGGGTCCCAGGTTTGATTCCATTCAAGGCCACATGCCTGAATTACAGTCTTAATCCCCGGTGGGATCTCTCTCATCATTGATGTTTCTCTCTCTCCCTTCCCCTTTCTTTCTGAAATTAAAAAAAAGTATTGAGGCAATATCTGATGTCCTTGATCTAAACCACTGAATTTTATTTACTATGTCATTAATTATACCACTGAATTTTATTTACTATGTCATTAAGCAAAGGGGAAGGCAAAATGGATACTTGATTACATTAAAGGACATGTCTTACTAGACATTTACAGGAGGGGAAAATTTATAGATAGTTTATCTGCTTATTCAGTTAATATATTAAGCCACCTACATGGCAGTCATTGAATTTTTATTAGATAATGCAAAGAAGAAATTAGATATATTCAGTCTTGGGGGAGACATATTCCAAAATAGTAATTAGAATATTAACTGTTAATCCTTCATCTTTTAAAGTGAGTCTTGATTAATGTTTGTGCTGCTTTGTTCTTGTAGAAGTATTCCATACTGAACCATTTGTTAAAAAACCTACAAGTTCATTTTCAATTATATTTCTAGTATTCTACATGTTCTTTCAGGTCTCTCATTTTTATATAAAAGTATAGAAGACATTTTGTTATTTGGAAGGTGTTTGAAGCAGAGCTTATGTGTATTGCTCTTGCTGTGTTCTTTTTATGTTAGCAGAACACAAGTCAACTTGATTAATATTTGACATTGAGGTTTTTAAAATTTTCAGTAAAACTGCCACCTTCCACCTCTGCACTTATTTGCATTTCAGTGGTTGATGAGCACACATACAGGTGCCAGCACACTGGCTACCCGGTGAGAGGGCATGTGGGTGGTGGCATTTTCAAGTTTTTCAGTGAAAGAACATTCAACATTTTGGTCTTCCCTCTTAATTGGTATTCCTGTGGTGGGCAGCATTATTTCAGTAGAAGAGATTAAAAGAAAAGGATTTTAAAAGTGAATTGTTGATTTTTGAAACATTAAGAAAGAAATATTATGATTGTTCTTTACAGAAAGGACATGTGGGGATTTATTTCCATATATTTATATATATGATTATAAACTATAGTGTTTTAAATTACTACAGCATGTACTGGAATTATAGGCTCCTTTTATTAATGCAGCATTTATGAAAAATACTTCTAATTTTCCTGGCATTGCATATGATGCTGATGGTTTCTGAACCTGCTATTTAGTTCAGGGTTTCTCTACTTTGGCACTATTGACATTTTGGACCAGATGGTCTGTCTTTGTTGTAGGAGGTTGCCCTGTGCGTTGTAGAATGTTTAGCTGCATCTCTTTAACCAGTAGGTTTCAGTACTACCTCCTCTGCGCTGCAATAACCAGAAATGTTCAGACATTGCCAAATGTCTCCATGGAGGCAGTCATCCCCAGTTGAGAGCCACTGGTTCAGTTGAATGATTCAACCAGGGATGACCACTCCTTGAGAATTACTTGCCTGCCTCACCAGCATGGCTCAATTGTTGAGCATCGACCTATAAACTTGGAGGTCATGGTTCGATTCCCAGTCAGGGCACATGCCCAGACTGCAGGTGCAATCCCCAGTGTGAAGCATATAGGAGACAGTCGATCAATGATTCTATCTCATCCCTCTCCCTTCCATTATGTGTGTGTGTGTGCGCGCGCGCATTTTTTTTTTTTTAATTACTTTCCAAAGTGGTTCCTGAATTCAAATGGGAGCAAGTTACAGCTCTCCAGTATACTGGATATACAGGGGTTGGCAAAAGTAGGTTTATAGTAGTTCAAAAAAGAAAAATAAGGAATACAAGAATTAATAATAATAATACAAGGAAATTCTGTGTTTTGCACACTCACAACTGTAAATCTACTTTTCCTCACCCCTGTGTGCGTGGGTGGTGGGAGGGGGGCAAGGAGAGCAACTGAAACCAGTAGGTCAGTTTTGTTTTTGTTTTTTAATATATTTTATTGATTTTTTATAGAGAGGAAGAGAGAGGGATAAAGAGTTAGAAACATCAATGAGAGAGAATCATCTGTCAGCTGCCTCTTGCACACCCCCTACTGGGGATGTGCCCGCAACCAAGGTACATGCCCTTGACTCGAACTGAACCTGGGACCTTTTAGTCCGCAGGCCAACGCTCAATCCACTGAGCCAAACCGGTTTCGGCCACTGGGTCAGTTTTCAATTAATAACCAATTATAATATAAAACAATGAGTGTATGGTTCAGTGGATAGAGTGTCTGCCTGTGGACTGAAGGGTCCTGGGTTTGATTCCAGCCAATGGCACATGCCCAGATTGTGGGCTCGATCCCTAGTATGGGGACATGCAAGAGGCAGCCGATAATGATTCCCCATATTGATGTTTCTGTCTCTTCGTCTCCCTTTCTTTCTGAAATTAATAAAAATATATTTTTTTAAAAGATGAGTGCTGTTATAGGGTATATAGGAAGCTCAAAGAACAAATATATAATAATAAAAATAATTGGTAATATTTACCAAGTAGTCAGTGTTACTCTGTAACATATTTTCCCTTATGTAAGGAATGTTATGGCATAAAGCACCTAAAGCTCAGTAAGAAAAGTTGTAAATATGCAGATCAACTGTGCCACAGAAGTATGCCCTTGTATACTCAGTTTGTCAGTTTACCGCTGGCGGCTGAGGATAGGCAGTGAGAAGGAGACTAAGTGATGAGGCTGGAAGGAGGGAGCGCAGTGGACAAAAGGAGCTCCTGTCTTTTGGAATCTCTTTGTGAGAGGAGAATGGGGTCTTACTGCTCTGGGTATTCTATCATCAGCAGGAGCCAATTCTCAAAAAAACTTGTTTTTCACACTGGTAAACCTTGGTAGAAAGTTCAGTGTGTTTCTCACGTATCGTGCTTAGGAACAGCAAGGCTCTATTGGAGCAGAATACCTAAGAGGAAATTTTCTGTGTCAGATCACTGCGGGTTGGTGTCTCTCTTCTTTCTCCACTACCACCTTTTCTCGCCCTCTCACTTTCCCAAGGTGTCTGAAGAAGCTTTAAATTGAAAGTATTATTTGTATTTACTAGGTAAGAATTTGGACTACTGAAATTCTTAAGTAAGTTTTCTTACGTATGACATGTATCAACCAACCTTTTCTTTCTAACTGGGACCATATGAGAAAAGCTTGTATTAATCTTATGCTTAATGGCTTGATGCTGAAAAGTTTGACTTTTTTCCACTTTCCCCCAGTTGATACCCTACAGCAGGGTTGGGGACTTCCACCCCACGGTCGTATGAGGCCCGAGAAATCACTGTTCTGGCCCTGGCAAGGCATGAGGAGTGATTTAATTAAATGTTTGACCAAATATAGCAGGCTGGTTTTTAAGTTGATAATGTTGTATTGCCTGCCAATGATGTTATAAATATCCACATGGCCCCTGGCAGAAACAAAGTTCTCCACCCCTGCTCTGCAGGGCGCCTGTGGGTAAGACCAATTTCTTTCTGGGTTTGTCTAAAACTGGAGACTGTGCTCTGCTTAAGTTCCTACTGAAGTAGCGCAGATCCCTTTCAGTGAAGACATGGTATCAAACGCCCATTCCAGAGAAGAGCTGTGGCACACTTGGAACAGACCGCACTGGCAGCTGCCGAAGGGAGTGCAAAGTGGTGCTCCAGCACTGCTGGTTCCTTTTGGAATACTGATTAAGAGCTTTTTAACATATTACAAAAACTCAAACTAGCTGGCTTAAACAGTATGAAAGATTTACTCTTGTAATAACAAGAAATTTCACCTAATTCTGGAAGGGCAGTTTAAGGTTGGAAAATTTAGCCACTCACTGTCACATTTTATTCTGCCACTCAGTGAGTTGGCTCAGCTCCCCTCGGGATGGTAAGATGGTTGCTGCAGTTCTAACCTCTATATAGTCAACACATTCTGGGAGAAAGGAAGGGTCATTTCTGGGTGTGTCTGACAACAAGGAAAGCCTTTCTTAGAGAACCTCAGCAACTTCCTAATTTCCTCTTATATCTCAATCATTGCAAGAAGAGGAAAGTTGGTAAAGTTTAAACATTCGGTTCCCCTCCATGGCCCATTTTACATGGTAATGTGAAACAATATTGGGGTTTTGTTAGAAAGAGAGAAAACAGGTGAAGCAAAAGTTTTTGGTATACCAAGTGGTTAATGCATTTTCCAAGCATCAGAAATTTGAGCGCCTGTGAATAAGGAGTTACAACTCAAAAGTTAGCTTTGGACAGTGCTGAGCATAAGGGTGCTCAAAAAGTATGGTAGACAATTGATGTAGAAATACCCTATTCCAAATGATTTACACACTAACATCTCCAAAACATGTTTAATGGTACCTTATAATTACTATCAGTGTCAGCCAGCTGTGTGAAAACTTGTTGACACTTTCTAGTGAAATCAAGAAAAGTCCAGTACTCAAATTTCATAGAGTAGATGGAACATCACTACTCTGCTTTAATTATTACTGATAAATAAAGTGGGTAGATAGACTTTGCAGTATAGCTTGAGGCCTATTGTTGAATAGGGGTTAGTCTCATTTAAAAAAATAAATAAATAAAGTATTTGAAAGTGTTTGCTCCCTCTCAGTTACTGATGGTAATGAGCTGTGACCTAGTAGTCCAGCTATTAAATGCTAGAGGTCAAGAAACTAATTTTAATTTATCTTTCTCACAAGCTTAGGGCACTTCCACATCTTAGAACTTGATAAGAGACCAGTAGTAGTTTTTTCATGCAGTACTTCTCGGGAAATGTATGTTTTCCTGAATCCTGAGAAAAATGATTCAAATAAAAAAATGGAAAAGTTACTCTAATTCTCCTGTTAGAGTTCATCTTAACAATCAGTACACAAACATGACTGGTTTGAAGGAATCCAATTACAACAAGTTGAAAGTAGAAACTGAAAATGTTGATACCTGGAATCAAAGATTAAGATAAGCAGGAGCACCTTAGAAAGAAGCAATCACAAGCAAATTCGTTCTGGTTAATATAGCTTTGTCATTTTATAAGTGTGCATGGCCCTGTCAGCTGCTGTGTTTATACTATAAAGGAAGGGGTTTATACTATAAAGGAATCTTACGAGTAGTGTTAGAAGAAATAGGTGTTTGGGAAACAAAATAATTCCTTTAATTGGCATTTTCCCCATATAGATGGAGTATGGTACTATAAACCTTGCTAAAAGTTCTAAATGTTACATTATTTGAATACTATCTAGAAATATTCACAGCATTTGCCAGCATTTGAATATTCACTGTAGCCTGCAGTTCTTAGAAATACTACAAATTAAACCATTTAAAAAAAAAAGATATTATGAATGAAGAGTTTGGAAAATGTTGTAATGTTGTAAGAATTTAAAGAATAAGTTATGTTTTGGGGAAATCCAGAGAATTTCAGGTCCTTGTTTGTGCATCCTGAAGGTTAGTATCTTTCAGGAATTCTGAAACACTAGTACCAAAAGGTAAAATTAGTTCCTAAATTTCAAGAACTGGGTTTTGTTGTTTTCAGAACAATTCCAGGAAAGGCCACAAGGTGGTGGTGTTGTTGCTTCATGGAAGTGGTGGCTTAGTCTCTAACAGTCACTGTTCACTTTCTAGAGCAGAAAGTAATTTTTTCTCTCCTTTTCTTTGCTGAAGAGATTTCAGCCCAGCCAGTGTGGCTCAGTGATTGCATGTTGACCTATGAACCAGGAGGTCATAGTTCAATTCTGGGTCGGGGCACATGCTGGTGTTATGGGCTTCTTCCTGGTTGGGGAGCATGCAGGAGTGGGTTGATCCACAAATCTCTCTCATCATTGATGTTTCTTTTTTTTCTTTTTTTTTTTAAATATATTTTATTGATTTTGTACAGAGAGGAAGGGAGAGAGATAGAGAGCTAGAAACATCAATGAGAGAGAATCATCGATCAGCTACCTCTTGCACACCCCCTACTGGAGATGTGCCCGCAACCAAGGTACATGCCCTTGACCGGAATCGAACCCGGGTCCCTTCAGTCCCCAAGCCAACGCTCTATCCATTGAACCAAACCGGTCTCGGCTCATCATTGATGTTTCTCTTTCACTCTCTGAAATCAATAAAAACATAATTTTAAAAATAAATAGACATATTTTTAAAAAGAGAGAGTTTTCAGAGACGTCCATACATTGCCTGTGTCTTTAAATAGTTAAGGGAGAAATAGTCTATAATAATCCATAATAATAAAAGCATAATATGCTAATTAGTCCTGCCGTCCTTCAGACAAAGAGAGGGCTACTAGGGCAGCCCAGGTCCAGGGTGCCAGAGGGAAGGAAGCTGGCAGCCAGGGGGAAGGAAGGCTCACTCCTGCATGGGCCTCTAGTGCTGCATGCCCTCTTCTTGAAAACAGAGGGGAGGAGTTCACCAGTGAAGCCGTCTATTGCTACAGTTTTCTTTGTTGGATGGTCATTTGTTTTTTATTGTTTGTTGTTGTTTTTGGTTGTTTGCTTTTTACTGCAAGTTGTATTTCTTTAGTAGTTAAAATGCCCATTCGAGTTATCTGTATTTTTATCTGAACGAACTTTGGTAGTTTGTGTCTGAGTCAAAGAATTTCTCCTTTCCATCCATGTTGTTGATTTCATGAGCATTAAGTTGTTTCTATTTGCTTATTGTTCTTTTAATGTCTGTAGGATCTGTAATGATGTCCCCTCTTTTATTCCTGATACTGGATTTTGTTTGCTGTTTTTAAAGTCTCTTTAGAAGCTTTTTCTTTTATTTTTCTGTTAATTTTATTTCTCATCTTTATTCTTCTCCCTTTGGCTTTATGTGTTCCCTTTTCTTATTTCTTATTTCTTAAATTAAAATATTAATTTGAGACCTTTTTCTCTTTTGTAATAAAAGTAGTTAATGCTGTAAATTTCCCTTTAAACACTGCTATAGCCACATTCCAGAGCTATTGGTAGTTATATTTTAATTTTCATTCTATTCAGAATATTTTTCATTAATCCTGGGAAATTCACAGCCACTTTATATTGTTCCTCTCCTTTGTTACTTTTGCTATCTCTATGGCAATCTGTTTGAAACATTCCCTTTTATCCCCTTGTTTCTTAAACCTCTGTCTCATTATTTTCATCTTATTTTTTTTGGTGTATGGGTAATTTCCTCATTTCTATCTTTAAGCTTACAACATTTTTTTCCAACTTCCTAAATTCATCTATTAATATTTTAATTTTAAAATAACTATTATCTTTCATTTCTAGAAGTACTTAGTAATTTTTAAAGTATCTATCCTTTTGTTTTCCACAGTAATCTTTTACAAGTTATTTCATGATAGTGGAAGATTTATGGTATTATGTCTGAATATCTGCTTGACTCTTCAGGGGGATTGTGGTGTGGGCCTTGTTTGTTTTGTAAATTTTGATTGGAACACAATTTTTTGCGACTCCCAATCCTACCCTTCAAGAATTCTTTATTTTCTTTTTTCTATGATAATTTTGTTACCTGGATTGTGGAAGCATTCCTCCAGAGAGGTTTTTAACAAGTTTCAAGAGTGTTCATGAGCATTTTTGTATCTATTTTGAAGTTGTTAGGTAATTTCAACATCTCTGTTATCTCAGCATTGATATTTGTTGATTGTCTTTATCTGGTTCTTCATATGCTGAGATAATTTTGGGTTATATCCTGGATATTTTTCATATGATTTTATGAGACTCTGAGTCTTGTTTAAATCTGCCAATTTGGTGGTACTTCAAATTCTGGTCTACACCAATATGCTTGTTTCTATTTACTTTTCAGGGTCCTTAAATAGCGGCTTGGTGCATTCTGTTCACATTTATAGCTCCGTTCAGAGGGAACGGGATGAGCTTATGCCCTTTACCTAGAGCCTTCTCTTCAAATGGTTTTACATTTGCTTTGTTCATGTTAATTTTCTGAGCTTTGAACCTCAACTTTACATCCCAAACCTAAATTGTTTAGGTACACAGGCTTTAGTTTGAGGGGTTTTTTTCTTTGTTTTTTTATTGATTTTTTTTACAGAGAGTAAGGGAGAGGGGGAGAGAGCCAGAAACATCAATGAGAGAGAAACATTAATCAGCTGCCTCCTGCACATCCCCCAATGGGGATGTGCCCGCAACCAAAGTACATGCCCTTGACTGAAATCGAACCTCGGACCCTTGAATATGCAATCCGACGCTATATCCACTAAGCCAATCCAATTAGGGCAAGTTTGAGTTTTTATGTGAACCGAGCCTAGCAAAAACAGACAAAATTCCCTGCTGTCTTCCTATGCCAGTAGGCAGTTTTAGTCTCAGAATCAGCTCCTTTCTGTGGTAGGTCCAAAGATTTTTTTTTCTTCTTCACTCTAAGCGAGTGTGAAAGACCCTCACATACACCCTCTGGACAGCTGTGGTGCTGGACCCACTTGGTCTTCCTTCTTTTAAATGTGGCTCTTCATTAAAATAGTATTTTAAGTTTACTTTGAGTTTATTTTTTCCCCACCATTTATTTATAAGGGTGTGTAGCAGATATATTTTCAGATTTTCTTGATCACTATCTTCTTGTAACAGAAATACTTTTCTATGCCCTAACCAGTTTGGCTCAGTGGATAGAGCGTCAGCCTGCGGACTGAAAATTCCCAGGTTCGATTCCAGTCAAGGACATGTACCTTGGTTGCGGCACATCCCTAGTAGGAGGTGTGCAGGAGGCAGCTTATCAATGTTTCTCATCAATGTTTCTAACTCTACCCTTCTCCCTTCCTCTCTGTAAAAAAAATCAAGATATATTTTTAAAAATAACAACAAGAAATGCTGTTCTATAGACTTTTTTCTTTCAAAAATCAGCTTAAGTACACAAATTCAAAATTGGAGGCCCAAATAGGATAGTAACTAATTTATTGATAGAATTTTTTAAAACATGCATATACCGATAACTGTATTTTATTTATGTAACATGTTTATATGTTTTAGGCTAGAAACAATTATATGCATGTCCAATCAGGATTGAGAGTTACTGTTATCTCTTATAACTCTAGAAATTACAGTGTGACTTGAGGAAAAAAATTCTCAGTATAATTAAATTAATACTGGTTTCAAATTCAGGTACTGTGGAAAGGATAATTTTAATCTTTGAGGACAAAAATAAGACCACTTCTCATAATTAGAACTGAGGTTTTCGTGGTTGGTTTTCCGTGTTTTGTGTGGAGTCCATTGTCTTGGCATTCAGTGGGGATCACAGTCTAGTTGTAAGATTTCCTTTGCCTTTCACGATAAGTGGCTGCTTGTCAGAGACATGTTCTTCCCTTCTTTGCTGGCAGGGATGAGTAGTGACAGTGATGTGGAATGTGACACTGAGAACGAGGAGCAGGAAGAGCACACCAGCCTGGACGGATTCAACGACTCTTTCACGGCACAGCCCCCAGATGAAGGTGCAGCGCCGGTTGACATTTCATAGAGATGAATAAAACCAATTCTGCTGCTGCTGCTGCTGCTGCTGATTTGCTTCTGTTTCTACTTCTGCTTTTTCTGTTTTAATTGTCATTTATGAGACAATACTAGTATATATGGGGTAAACTAAATGGTGAGAACTGAAGAAAATTCGTAGGTAATATTTGGCTGGTCAGACACCTAATGGGTTCTACTTACTGAGTGAAGCAGGGGTCGGGAACCTGCTCCGATACAGCCTATGGTCCTCTAAGAATAGCTTTTCTGTTGTAAAGTTGTAAAACAACCCATTTGTGCCTGTGATACCTATGTACTAGTATTTGCTCTCTGCCCATTTGTAGTAGGTGTTTGCCAGCCCCTAGGGAGGTTTCAGATGTTTGGCTTTTTTCTTTTTAGAACTATTTGTAGCCTGGCTAATAAGGTAACTTTTTAAAAGTTTTTTTTTTTTTTTAGAAATATCTGCTTTTTTCTCTTTCCAAAAGAAGCAGCCAACTTTTGGCAAGTTTTTGAGTGCTATTAGGTGTTTGTCGTGATATTTGCATGTGCAGTTTAATTGGCTTTCAATGCATTTTATGTTATACAATCTTCAGTGTACATCACCATTTCCTGTTCCTTCTTCAGCTGCCCCCCAGTGTCCCTGGAGGTCAGAGTGAGGCAATGCCTTTCATTTTCTAACGATGGGTATCTATTGCACCTTTCTTTTCTCCTTTGTTTCTCCTTATGTTGGCTTACATCTGACTCAGGTCACAAATTCATTGAAGACAGCTTTGTTCACAACCCAGCATATCTTTATTGCTTAAATACCATACTTGATAAGATCATTTAAAGACGTGCAAGAAAATACTGGTCATTAGAAAATGTAATCTGTTTTTAATTTTTTTTTAATCTTAGATGCGCATTCCAGTTTTCCTGATGGTGAACAAATAGGCCTTGAAGATCTCAGCTTCAATACTGAGGACAACAGTGGAAGGTAATTTTCAAACCAAGAGAACTGACTTGCAAGCTATCCTGACCCTGAGATTTGCTGTAGTTGGTGCTCAAATGGTCATGTCAGATTTTGTCTTACTTTTTTTTATCATATCTACCTGAAATGATTCTGAAACTTTAGAAAGTAACGCAATTCTAGTAGAAGACTTTAGTTTACAAGAAAAAAAAGTATGGGAAGAATTCTGTGTGATGTAATGAATAAACATAGTCCTTGATTAATTTAGTAAAGTAGTATAATCTTAAAGAGCAGCTTGTCGACTACAACAGAGGGCAAGTAACTGCCGAAAAATGTCCCTAAAGACGTGCATGCACCCATGATGCTCAGCGCCGGTGCTGTCCTGTTTTGGCTGGATGCTCAGTTGTGTTTCAGTGACTGGCTTTTGGGTTTTAATCAGTGTATAGTCTCATTAGTGCCTGTAGATTAGTGAACAGAAAAAACTACTTATGTGTAGATTCTTTCCTATAGATACTTGATTATGTGAATGGCTGAAGTAACACTACACTGACTAAAGTTAACTTATTTATCTTTTCTTGTTTTTTTTTCCAAGTGTAGGCACACTGATCAATGGCTCATAATACTTCTATTGTGTGACTATTACAAGTGTATTTTTGCTAGTAAATAAGTTAATGTGGGTTGGTTATATTCCTGGTTACATGAACGTGCATAGATCATTTAAAGTATTTCATTTTTCTGCCTCTAAAGTACAAGTATTTAATGCCCTCTTTCTCCTCCTTTATTTTCATTAGTTGGAGACTGATTTCATTGTCAGCTATATTTAAAGAAATACAAATTGCAGGTTTACATGAAACTGTGGTATAAGAGTTACTTTCATACTTGCAATGAGCCCAAAGTAGTTGCCAAACTTTTGCCATTGTGCTCCTGCATTTGTGTTTGAGCTGCTAGACTGTTGAAAATTACACTGAAAGTTGACTAAGAGACTATTGAAAAAGCATGAATATATATATATATATATATGCACATGAGAGACATCTCATCTGCTTATATTTTACTTAATATTGTTCACTTTTCCATGTCTAATGTGTTGCTGGTTGCTATGATTCCTGATTTGCTTTTGTTCAAAACAGTTTGCTCTTTTTGTTAATAAAATGAACCTGAGAAAATATTATGCCTCTGAAATTTATTAGAAGTGGGACAGGAAGCCTCTTTTCTTTTTTCTTTTCTATTTATATTGCCTGCATATTATAGAGGCTGTTGAGCTCTATAGAATATTAGTAATTGCATGGGAAGTTAGGAGGTTTATTTATAATGTCCTTAATACATATGGTTACATTTTCTCTTTAAAAGCTAATCGGAAATATTTAAGAACTATAATCTTAGGAAAAGTAAAAATTTAGCATTTGGTTACTAACATGTTAATTGGCATGCTGTTGTACAATACAGTTATTACGTAGTTTGTCATGCAGTAATCTAACATTTTCTATTAGAATTGTGCTCATGGTCATTACATTTTGATGAGATATTTTTAATCAAGCTTTTTCTTATCTTTAACTATATTGTAATAGATGAAAATATAATGTAAGAAGTTTGCACCTTTAGTGTTAAGAGCAAACCATTGTGAAAAATTATGAGTTTTTTAGAAAAATAAATCCATAAACGTAAGTGATTGACACTTTGAATCTCTCACTGTGCCTAGCCATTTCTAGACCTATACCAGTGGTTGGCAAACTCATTAGTCAACAGAGCCAAATATCAACAGTACAATGATTGAAATTTCTTTTGAGAGCCAAATTTTTTAAACTTCTTCTAACGCCACTTCTTCAAAATAGACTCCCCCGGCTGTGGTCTTTTGTGGAAGAGCCACGGTTTGCCAATTACGGACCTACAGTTTTATATAGACCTGGGTGCTTTCCGTATGTTGTGATTCTTTTTATTTTCAAAATCTGTGAACTGCATGTGTTTAAGAAATAAGAGAAACCTGAGAATAGACTCTTCACACTTGGGGAAATGAATTTAGCTTCTTAGCATGAGTGAGTTAGCCATGAGATTCTCTTGGGTCATTAACCTTTATACAGTAGTATCCCCTTATCCATAGTTTTGTGTTCCATGATTTCAGTTACCTGTGATCCAAAAATATTAAATGGAAAATTCCAGATATAAACATACATTTTAAATTGTGCGACGTTTTGTGGTGTGACAAAATCTGGTGCCATCCTGCTTTGTGTTGCACCAGCAATTATTGAGCCCATAGAAAGACTTAAGCAAGGGATCCCCTGAAATGAGTGGCATCAAGTAGATTCAGGAATAGATTTGGACTGAAAAACAGAAACATTACTGGAGAGTATTGCTATAATTGTTCCATTTTATTGTTGTTAATCTCTTTACTCTGCCAATTTATAAATGAAACTTTAGCATAGATACGTACATATAGGAACATAGTTTGTAATCATACTGGAGGCCCGGTGCATGAAATTCCTGCTCGGGTGTGGTCCCTCGGCCTGGCCAGCGATCAAAGTATGAGCATTTGGCATGGAAAGGCAAGTCTCAGCTGACCTCTGGACTGTGGGCAACACCTGGGCCCCCGTGCACTCCCTCCACCTGAGTCACTGTGCTCGAGTCCCCGTGTGGAGATTCGGTGAGTGCAGCCGGATGCCATGGCCAGGGTGCAGCATAGGCCTCTGGGCCACCTAGCGGTACCACACGGAAGCCAGGCAGGCAACACACTCTCTCCCAATCAGCCTCGCAAACCGGTTCCTGTGTGAACTGGCCCCTATGGTCCTGGCAGTTGTGGCCCAGCTCACCCAGAAGATACCACGTGGGTGCTGGGCAGGCTCCTCCTGGGCACTGGGCACCTGAGTGGGGGGGTTGAGGGAGAGGGCTCTGGCATCCTGGGGGAGGGGGGCAGCAGGGGGAGTGAGAGCGAGCTCGGGCGGACATCCCACATACTCCCCGCACCTCTATCCCAGTCATCCCCGCTCCAGGTAGCTGGCAAGAGGTTGCAGTGCGTCACCAATACCCGCCGTGTTCCACTGCCGCCCTCTGGTGGTCAGCACACATCATAGTGAGCGGTTGAACTTCGGTCTCTTGGTCGAATGACCACCAGAAGGAACAATTTGCATATTGGACTTTTATTATATAGGAAGTGTTCTTAAGTTTTGCTCTTATTTTTCATGACCTTGAGGTTTTTAAAATCATTGAATTCCCAAAATTTCATAGTGATATTTAGATCACTCTTGGATCTTAAGTTGTTTTTTTTTTGGCTTTTCTTATCCTCTCAGGTTATTATGTATAAAAACAGTCAGGAGTACTGCCCTTATTTTAGATGGAGAATTAGTTGAGACCCTTTTAAATTGGTGGAGTTTGAATTCATTATGTCAGTAAGACTATTTTTTTTTATTATGGCTATAGGGAAATTATTTTATTTTTTAAATATATTTTATTGATTTTTCACAGAGAGGAAGAGAGAGGGATAGAGAGTTAGAAACATCGATGACAGAGAATCATCGATCAGCTGCCTCTTGCACACCCCCTACTGGGGATGTGCCCGCAACCACATACCCTTGACCGGAATCAAATCCAGGACCTTTCAGTCCGCAGGCCGATGCTCTATCCATTGAGCCAAACCGGTTTTGGCTATAGGGAAATTATTTTAACTTAATTTGTATATTATCTTCTGTGTTCAAGGAACCCAATGCATTTTTAGCATATTCTGACTCCATGTTTAAGAATAAAATATATCCCTTAAAAAAATTAAGCTTCTAAAGAAATATTAACTATCCTCCTGGTTAATTATATATATATATAGTAATTAAAGTTGACAACATGTTTCACAAAAAAAACACACACACACAAATTTATAAGTATCTAAAGAAGGGATGGGAAATATCTGGCCCACAGACCATGTAAGGCCTGTGAAATCATTTGGTATGGCCCTGCCAAGGCATTAGAGGCGAGTTGACCAAATAGCAGGCTAATTTTTAAGTTGATAATTTTGTATGGCTCAGAAATGATGCTGTAAATATTCAAAGGACCCTTGGCAGAAGCAGGGTTCCCCACCCTGAACTAAAAGATGAGCTCAGGCCAGCAGGGCCTCAGATAACATAATTTTGTTCAATGGCATAGGAACTAACATAGGAACTTGACTCTTGTGTATATGGTTAGCCTGTGGTAAAATTTGTTTTGTTTTATGTCGTTTTGCTTAATGTTGCAGAACCTACTGATGATGTTAAATGAGAACTTACTGTACACAAAAGCATTCTCCTATGATAAAGAAAATGATGCTTGTTTTGTTGGGTTCCATCTCACACCAACTAATGTTTGTGAATTATGAAATAGCAAGAAATATGCAGAATATACACTGAGTGGCCAGGTTATTATGATCTCTGAATGTATACACATATATATACATAGGCCCAGTGCATGTATTTGTGCATGGATGGAGTCCGGATAGCCTGGCCAGGGGAGGAGACATGGATGGTTGGCCGGCCTGCCTGCTGGTCGAACTCCTGGTTGAGGGGACAATTTGCATATTAGCCTTTTATTATATAGGATATACATTGAGTGGCCAGATTATTATGCGTTCAGAGATCATCATAATCTAGCCACTCAGTGTATATACACATTCACACAATTCTTTGAAGAAAATATCTGGGGTTCAATTAACAATTTTTTACCTAGCATTCTTTCAAGGGGCAGACAAACAACTATCTTTGGGCCAAGTCCCTACCACTGTCCGTTTTTGTAAATAAAGTTTATTGGATCATAGCCACATCCATTCATCTACAGATTGCTTGCTTTTCCCTACAAAGACAGAGTTGAGTGGCTGCTAACGAAACCTGATTCCCAGGGTCTAAAATATTTATTTTCCCCTCTTTAAGAGATAGTTTGCTGACTTCTGTCATTAGAATTTATAAGAATGTCACTTTTTTTTTTTTAATATAGAAGGCTTAAGCTTAAGAAAGCATGATTTTTAAGTTAAAAAAAAAAGATTGAACATTTAATTAGTTGTTTGTGTTTAGTTTTGTGGAT